GAACCTGGTACCGAGTCTGCTACTGATGCTGGTCTTGCTGCTGCCCCGGTCGCTGCTCCTGCTCCTACTGCCGCTGCCGCTCCCCAACACCAAACTCTGCCTCAAGCCCCTCCGCAATCACTTCAAGTTCTAGACACCCCCCTAGCCCAAGCTGCAGATCCACCCCCTGCCACGGCCGCTGTCACCCAGCACCAGCAGGATGTCTCGAGCCATGCCGACCCGAATATTAAAAAGCCCCGAGGCCCTGCTGCCCTCCCGAGGCAGTCCGGTCCGTCCTTGCTAACCCAAGCCCTCGCCTCAGCTCGCGGCATCCCTTCGAGAACACATTCCCACCAAGACCAAACATCACAACCTTCCAGCCAGCTGTCCACCCGCTCGCTGCCTTCGCCTACCGCCGACTTCGTCTCTTCCAACGCAAACTCAAACTCCAACCCATCCTCTGCTACTGCTGGCCTGGATCCTCTCGCCGTCGACGACCTCCGCAATGTTCCCTCCCTCCCTGGCCATGGCGCCTCAGTAACTCCCCGAAGCGCTCCTCAACCCGGCACTGTACCCCCTTCCGACATCACCACCCAAACCGCTGCTGTACATACCCCCGACGCCGACATGGAGATAATGACATCGCCCACCTACGATATGGCCAGTTTTCAGGGTATTCGAGCTATGCTGCTAGATCATCGCGACTTTCTCAAGAGTGCGCGCTCGCCTCGTGGCAGGGGTTCCTCCTTGGAGCGGGTTGATCCGGAGACGCGAGCACAGGGAGGGCTCCGAAAAAGCAGAGCTCATTCTCACTCCACCAGCCCAGAGGGATCTCTCAGTTCAGTCGCACAAATGGATCAGAAACTACACCAGGATATCACTACCGTGCCTGAAGGCCGACCGAAGAAATTGGAGCATCGATTCTCCGTTGGACCCGAGAAGATATGGTCGATTGGGTCGAGCGAGGCCATCGACGGACAAGAAGATGGCCAAGTGGAGAAGTCCGTTCACGAAGCCATGATTGGCGCCGAGCCCAACGCTCGCAGCCGAAAGGCTAGCTACAGTCTACGATTCTTCCGAGAGGGATTGCCCAAAGAGGAGAAGACGCCGGGACGCAGAAAGGACCAGCGCCCCAAGGAGAAGCCCTCTCTGAGCTCAGATTCACAGGAGCCGCTTTCGTCAGACATTGCCATTGAAGATTTCGCCAAAGCTGCCAGTGCACAACCTTCGCCTAGGATTCTCGACAAGAAGGACTGGGTGCCAAAGCAACTGGAAAGAGTCAAGACTTTCCCCCTTCAGTCGCCCCAGGCTGGTGAGACCCCCATCCTGACCGACTCGCCGACTCAAGATTACTTTGGGTTAAGGAAGGTCAATGGCGACATTTTCCACAAGGTGGATACCGATGGCGCTAGACCGGCCAGCAACACGTCCGTTCCTGCGAATGGAGAGAAAGAGAGCGACGCCTCGCTACCCTCGATTGATGAATCCGGAGCGGTTGAGACCCGACGTCTGTCAGCCGACAGCAGCGACCCTGGAGAAAGCCACGAGGAGGGAGACGAGTCTTCCGAGGAAAAGATTTCTTCAGCTGTGTTTGTACCGCACCCCGGCTTGGAGGAGGCTGCAGAACGCGAGAGAGACGTCGCGAAACCGAGACAGACGCCCGGTCGCACCATATCGAAAGCCAGAGCCGAGGACTTTCACCCGTGGCTGGTGAAGGCTGATGAGCCCGAGCCCGAGGAGGAGCTGCTCTCTCCTGACCAGCCTCCCGAAACCCCTTCCAAGTCGAAGCCGAAGCGTCTGCCCGGCGAGCCCAACATTACTCTACGTGAGGTTCAACCGGGCACTATTGAGGACGTGACGGCTGAAGAAGAGCCGGAGCCACCGACGCCGAAGCACATCCCTGCACACATTGATGACCACGCGCACCATCATCAAGTGGAGCAGAAAGAGCCTCTCGAGGCCATCGAACTCATCCCCTACAAGCACCAGGTTGGCGGTCACACCACACTTTGGCGCTTTTCCAAGAGAGCTGTCTGCAAACAGCTCAACAATCGGGAGAATGAGTTTTACGAAAATGTGGAACAGGATCATCCTGATTTGCTCTCATTTCTCCCACGGTACATTGGTGTCCTGAATGTGACTTTTCACAAGCAACCCCGGCGCAAGTCGACCCACAGGCGTGATGATGCTCCTTTGCTGGAGCGGAAGCCGACCGGAGAGATTGGTGCCACGGCGTCAGTGGACGCGACCAAGTCGAACGGATCCAACGGCGCGTCTCAGCCGAGCCAGGAGCACCGTCGCATCATCAGCCAGTCACTTTCTTCCGCCCCCGAGCCAATCCCGACGGTGACCTTTGACGATAACTGGCATATCCTGCCCCGGAATCTGCTGCAACCGACGCCTCCTCCAGTAGTCATGCCGACTCGGGGTCGAAGCACATCATCTGCAGGTCTTCCGGACAACCCTGAGCAGAGCAAAATGGCATCTCCAACAAGGCCTAGCCTGGATGACAGGCACGCGAATAGCTGGGGTGCAACTACCGTCAATAAGCGGCTGCGCAATGAGGTGTTCAACGACGTCTTCTTGAAGCAGCCAATTCCGATCCACAAGCACCGCCGCCCACACCAAAAGTCAATGGCTTTTCGTAAGCAGCCGACATTGAGGCCAGCTAGCTCCGTACCCGACTTGGTGCGCAGACAGGATCCGTCTGCCGTAGAAGGTCACGCACCTGAAAAGCCTAGCCCGCTTCGGCCAAGCAGCTCCTCGCCCCCTCCTACAGAGAGCATTGCCATGGAGCGCCCGAGCCATCTCGAGGCTGCCGAGGCAGAAGCCGAAGATAGCGATGTCAAGGACGTGACTGGTACCAGTGCACCGGAGCCGGAAACTCTTGCAGACAAGATTATTGCTCAGAAGAAAAAGAGACGTTACTCTGGAACAGGCCTCCGACGGAAGCCACGAACAGTGACGGAGTCTAGAGGACATCTCAAGTACTGGGAAGAGGCGGATGACGCTGGTTATAGAGGTGAAGACGAAGGCGGGCAGTCCCTCATCACGTCCCAAGTGAACTCGCCCATGATCGAAGCGCCAAGCACGAATGGCACAAATGCCAGTGAAGGTGCCGCGAAAGAACTTAGTCTCCCAGTGCCTGCTGCTGATGCATCTCAAGCCGACGTCCCGACCGAAGCTGAGCACTCTACGTATGCGTCAACTGTTCCGTCCGAGGTGCCTAGCCCTACCCAAGAGTTCCGCAGAATCCCGCGACCTGTGAATCCGAAGGAAGCGCAAACGCAAAGAGACTCCCGCGTCGAGTACTTCCTCCTGTTGGAAGATCTCACGGCAGGCATGAAGCGACCCTGTATCATGGACCTAAAGATGGGCACCAGACAGTACGGCGTAGAGGCCACGCCCAAGAAACAAAAGTCGCAGCAGGGCAAGTGTGCCAGGACAACCTCGCGTGAGCTTGGCGTGCGTGTATGCGGACTCCAAGTCTGGGATGTCAAGAGCCAGAGCTACGTCTTCAAGGACAAGTACTTTGGGCGTGATCTCAAAGCCGGCCAGGAGTTCCAGGACGCTTTGACGCGATTCTTGTACGATGGCGTCGACTACTCAAGCATTCTGCGACACATTCCGACTATCCTGCAAAAGCTGGACCACCTCGAGTCGATCGTCCGAGGACTGGACGGCTACCGATTTTACGCCGCCAGTCTCCTCATGTTTTACGATGGCGACACGACCAACGAGGGTAATGAATACGATACAGTCGTTGACGATTCCACGACTGACTTTGCAACCGACACGGAGGAGACGTCGGCTTTGCGCGAGAAGAAGAAGCAGAAGAAGAAGCGCGGCATCGACTTCAAGATTGCCGACTTTGCAAACAGCCTGACCAAGGGCGACCTCGCAGAGGGAAAGCCATGTCCGCCGCGGCATCCCAACGAGCCGGACCGTGGCTTCCTACGAGGTCTTCGAACGTTGAGGAAATATTTCCTCAAGATCCAGAAGGATATCCGTGCTGAGATGGGGCCGGATTGTCACGGACGAGGTCATAGTATGGATGTTGATGAAATTGATATCGACCACGTCTCGGATGAGGAGGGGTCTGTCAGCGAATGAACTGGAGGAAAAGGGAGAGCTAGGAGGAGGTGTCTCTTTCTTCATGTTGATAATTTGGGAAATTATTTTTATTATTCTGGATTGGGTGAGTGTGTGGCTTTTATGGAATGGGATGGGACTTGGGGTTCGGCGGAGTCAGGGACGGCATTTGACAACATACCCGGCATCGGTTCGGCGTCACAAATACAGATTTCAAGGCAACTGAGATGTTTTGTACTTTTCACTCTTCTTTCTCTGTCTGTCATGAGCTTGAGTGGTGGCTGCTACAGACTTGTGCCGTGTCTGACGTGACCGACGAGTGTTGCTGATGAGGAAAGCTGTGATGCGAAGTATCGGTGAGGGGGGGACTATGAAAGCGTTGCGTCTCTTGTGTGCTTTGTGGATTAGGTTTAGACGTCAAGGTAGACAAAAATGGGTAGAATCTCGCGCCTGAATTCCCTATTGAACGAATGGCTTTTTGTGTTCCAATGAAGGGAAAATCCATTACAAGTAAGTAATGACGGGGAAAGTTAGTGAACGCCACGGCCACGGTCCTCTCTCATGCCCTTTGCGTCCTGTTTCCGAGTTGCCGGGTTGCCGGCCGCTCGAGGTCCGGGTGTCTTATGTAAGCTTCCGACGTCGATCAAAGTATAATACTGGAAGGGATGCTTTTCGTCGGCACACTTCGATACATGGCTGTGCTGGTTTCATCCTATCTCATGACGAACTTGATCAGTGCTCTCTCTCATCCCTAAAAGTTTGCTCGAATCCCAGTAGGATTTAATCGTCGGGCTGTACCACAAGAGGTGAGCACCCGAGGAGATAGGAATATATGGTCGCATACTCGACTCGCTTCCATCGCGAATAAGAGAGCATCATCCATAACCCCCCTTCCAAGCCTTCAAGCGAGAAAAAGGCACAAGACAAAAATGGGATCCGTCCTCTCCGCCCTTCGCGGCGCAACAAAAACCGTCGGCGCCGTAGCAAAGCTCCTCCTGGACCTGAACAAGACTTACCAAGCCCTCCTGGCCCGCGTCAACGCCCCGCCGGGCCTGCCGCACGCGAACCCTTCGAGCCCGTACTGGCTCGACGACCCGCCGTTTCCGGAGCTGGTGGACGCGCGGTCCGAGAAGCTGCCGGCGGAGGCGGATGTTGTTATCATCGGGAGCGGGATTACGGGGGCTGCGGTGGCGAGGAGTCTGTACACCGCCGCAAGGGATGCATCGGATGGAGAAGAAGGGGGGAAGAAGGGGCCTAGGGTGGTAGTTCTCGAGGCGAGGAGTTTGTGTGCCGGTGCGACGGGGCGGAATGGAGGACACGTCAAGGCGAGTCCACATGAGCTCTTTACGAAGCTGGCAAAGTATTTCGGCAAAGAGGGCGCGGCGAGGTTGACTCAGTTTGCGTTAAGGACCGCCGAGGCCGTGTTGGAGGTTGGTGGGGAGGCGGGCAGGGAAGTGGCCGAGTGTAGGCGCGTCGAGACGGTGGATTTCTTCCTCGATGATGAGGGATTCGAGGCGGGGAAGAAGGAGGTCGAAGAGTTGAGGGGGTGGGTGCCCGAGGTTGAGATTGCGGTGCTTGGGAGGGAGGAGACGAAGGCGAAGTTTGGGGTTGAGAGGGCGCATGTTGCGGGTGGGTTGGTGTATTCTGCTGGCGCGATGTGGCCTTACCGGCTTGTTGCGAAGATTTGGAAAGAGCTGGTTGTTGAGTTTGGGGGTAGGTTGAGCTTGGAGATGAATACGCCTGTTGAGGAGGTTGTGGTTGATGGTGACGGGGGTGGGAGGCCATATGTTGTGAGGACGGCGAGGGGGTCGATCAAGGCGAGGCATGTTGTTCATGCTACGAATGCGCATGCGGGACAGTTTTTGCCTGGGTTGAGGGGGAAGATGGCGGGTGTGAAGGCTCATATGACTGCCCAGCGACCCCCGACGACGACGCCCTCCGGGCAAACGACTCAGCAAGAAGAAGGAGGAGCAGGCTTCCAGTGGCCGGACAACAGCCGCACCGGAAGCAAATCATGGAGCATCATCTACGGCAACGGCGCCTTTGACTACGTCACGCAGCGGCCCAATGGGGACGTAATGCTCGGCGGCGGGTTCGCGCGGAGCGCGGGCGAGGGAGTGGACATGGTTGGCGTGTACGACGATTCCGGGACGGACGGGATGACGATTGCGCATGTGTCTGGGGTCATGAGCGCCGTGTTTGGGGCAAGGTGGAGGGGGGATGTGGTGAGGGTTTGGAGTGGTGTTTTGGGTGTTACGGGGGATATGGCGCCTTTTGTTGGGCGGGTTCCTGCGAGTGTCGCGGGGTTTAAGGGGAAGATTGGTTCATTTGCTTCTTCTTCGTCTTCTTGGTTTGGATTGAAGAAGGGGAGGGAGAGTGTCAAGGTGAAGAAGGTTGGGAAGACGGTCGATGAGCTGGAGGAGGAACACCCGTGGATGGGGGCTGAGGCTGGACAGTGGGTTAGTGCTGGGTATTGTGGTGATGGCATGGTCTGGGCTTGGCTTTGTGGGACGGCGTTGGGGGTTATGATTGCAGGCAAGGAGGATGTTGTGCTTGAGAAAGGGGTTGGGTTCCCTGGTGGCAGGTTGGCGGAGTGGTTTCCCAAGGAGCTGTTGCTTACGGAGGCGAGGTTGAGGAAGGCTGATATGAGTAATCTGGTGGACGAGATATAATGTGACGTATACTAATGACTGATAATTCCGCTAGAGAATACGGCCGATCTCAATCTCAATGCTTGTTCTATCCTATCGAATACTAGAAAGGCCACTATGGTCCACAAAAAAAGCGACAAAAGGGAGATTCAAACTGGCAAAATGGCAGACTATAGTGCCTCTGCAAGATGCTGGGTGCAGAGGGCTTAGATAGATTTCAGTTTGCGATCTATGGACGAAGACGTCACACGCTAGACCACTTGGCCAGAGTGTAGTGGCTCGCCAACCCCGACAGACACTTCAACTTTGCTTAGTTATAGAGGGTACGAGCTGAAGGCTGGAAGCAACCTTGGTGGGTTTTTCGTTGTTTTGGGTGGTGTCTGCCAGTAGCACTTAACTTCAAACTTATGTTACCTTGACATCCTATAGAAAAGGTATCTAGTCGTCGGGTCGTCTCAAACTACCCGGAAAATTCACTCCCAACTTTGTGGTAAAGGCTCTTTCTTCAGATTGGCTATTGTACCAAGTTCCTGAGCTCACCCAATACTCTGAGGTCAAGGACCTTCTGACTGTATTTGAAGAAAAACCATCAGTACTGCCGCGTATCTATACTCGTGTTAGCCATGAGACTTGTATTTGGCGGCAGAGGGAATCATACGCAGCTGTTGCGCCCAGTGCCTCAAAAGGTTTCGCCACCATAGCTAGGGAAAGAACGAGGAGGAAAACGAAGATGAAGACCGTGATGACTGCGAGTTTAGCCTTCAGATCCGTCAACGCCTGGAGGATCCATATGGGCGTGATGAGTATCAGAACTCCGATGGCGATGATGACTGCTGAAGCAAAGTTGTTCATCCGTTTGTCGGAGTAGTACGTCACTTCTTTCTTGTCGTAAGTCGCGACTGATTCTTCTCTGTGTCTCCACAGAGAAAGCGTTCGTAGGCGAAGAGACCCATCGATGACTTGTCGTAATGGGGTCTTCTCTTTCTGGGCCATGGCTACAAGGTCCTCCTCATGATCCAGGTACTTCTGCTCTTCTTTTTCAATAGCTCTATAGTCGTGATTGTGATGCCAATTACGGAGACTCTTCACGTCTCGTCGTGGTGCTACCGGAAGCTTTCGGAGTGTATGCTGCTGGATCAGGAATTCATCTACGTCATTACCGTCAGTCAATTTTTGTTTCTGTCAGAATCGTTGGCAGATAACATCGTACTATATCTCCCTAGCTTTTCCGAAATCGTTCTGACAATATCAAAACGTTCTGGCACATCTCGATTTCGTCTCAGCGTACCGTTGTTGTAGTCACCTGCGGCTCTCTCGCTGAACTCATTGTCCAGAGCCTCCAACTCCTCCTCAAGTCCCGACAGCTCATCCTGAAGCGCCAATGCAACGCGCACATTGAGCGTGTCGAACCTGCGAAGTATGAAGAAGTCATCTTCCGATGTGATGAAAGAGGTATACCCTTTATAGCCAATATACTTCCACGGCTTCTGTTGTATGTCTTTCTCACCGGGTTCTTCTGATTTTATGATTGCTTCATGTTGAACACGCGGGTGTTGAGATAAGGAATCAGACCCCAGAGTGTCTTGGTGCATCGACGGTTGCATTGTAGAAGACGATGCTAGGTAATTGTATATCGTCGGAGCAACTTCCGAAAGGGCGGGAAAATGTGTCAAATATACGAGGATAGGCAACAGGCAGAGACATATTGCATTAGTCTCGTAAGGCAGTCTGGGGGCTTCCAGCCTCGGCTGGCCTGTAATCCGTCATTCGCTAAATGCAAGAACGCATGTGGATGAAACACAAGCGATTGGCTGCTTTTTAGATCAGAGTGAGACTTCACAGCCTCAAGTGTATGCATGTAAATAAGCGACATGTCCTGATGACGCAGGCGGCTGCCAGACAGGACCGATCCTGCAAAGTCCCAACCTCATAAACTTGCGGCCTTCCCCTCACCATCGCTCGGTCCTGGCCGACTATCGTACAAATACGACAATCTCTGCTTGAAAGTTCTCGTGATAACGGAAAATTCTCGAGACCCCATCTAGTCGTCTAATTTGTGATTTTCATGCGCAAAGCCTGGTAGGGATGAGTCGAACCAATGTACAAGGAGAAGTAAAGAGCGACTCATCATTACTTCCGAACTTTTCTCATACTGTTGCAGCTGTTGTACGCGAACCCTATAGTCAGCAGGAGTGGCGTTCAACGTTCTAAACAGGTGAGACCATCTGAACCTTTGAATCTGTATGCGTAAAAGCCCCTTCCCGACTTCTACTCACTCGATTACAGATCTCTGCCGCGTTTGTCCAAAGGAAAAAGTCGGACAATGCTATAGCCGAAACAGCGCCCTTAACGCAACCAAAGAGGCGCGAAATCACTCGTTGTGTTGAGTGTGGCTCCCCGAGAAACAACGGCAATGATTCGTCAAGAAATGACAAAGCAAACTCTTTCACTGTTAAAGGGGACTCGATGGGAAGTGCTTCGGGTGGTTCGTGGTCCTCTACAGAATATTCAGGGCGAACGGGATGCCACTGATGCCACCAATAAACGATGCTAAACAATGTCCGCCGACACTAGAGACTGATGGAGTCAACACCTCACGTCGTACCAAGGTCACTTGGTTCCACGTGCTCGAACTTGAGTCACAACTTCTGCTTTGGTCGACTTTTACTGTTATGAGTTGGCAAACGTTGAGTCACTATTAGTATGACAGCACAAATATTAATACCCCTTTAGCATTGCCCGAAAGTCTGACTTTTTGAGAGGTGACGGGGTTGTGGGGGTCGTCAGGGAAGGTGTAGACGATGCTCTGGCCCAGTTGACACTCAAGGCTGAGGTGATGGAGATCGGGTGATGATGTACCATTCTTATGCAGCCGCTTTCATTATTGTTGTCTTCCACATCTTCAATCAAGATGTTTCTTTAGCCACGGTGAGCGGAAAAGGAACCCCTGGCTTCTCTGATCTGTGATCTGTGACAAGATGACCAAGAGTCAAGATCTCAGTGGTTTAAGCCTATCCAAACTCACGATCGACAACACTAGCAACAGGTACAAGCATTAAGGTCAAACTCGTACAAAGCCAGTGGAGGGGCAAGGGTCACCATGGTCCACCCAATGAGAAAGTTTGGTTGACTATGTGGGTAGTTAGGTACGGAAGGGGACACACACTCTATGTGAGAGATCATGTCTTGCATCTTGAGGATTGTCCAAGTAGTTCGCGTTATGAGGGTGATCATGTGCCAAGTTCGCCGTCGCTCCAGCCTATATAAACCAGACGAACCCGCCCACCTCCATTCTACTTCGGGCGGTCGTAGGTGCCACGCTCTCCTTTTGAGGTCTGTGACCGTTCATGGGGAGGTTCGACCTTCGAGTGGGTAGAGAATAGATCTTATCCACCTCGCTGTTCTAGAAGAACATATTACGGTTCTGTAAGATATGTCCATGATGCCACCTCCCTGATCGACAGCATCCGCAACTTTGTGATAGGTATTCGCATGTGTACAAGCATCCATCCAGGGGCAAGGGTCCCAAAGGCCCACTTCCGACCGCCTAAACCTGGAAGCTCACGCGACGTTGCCGAACCGTGGAGCTCCTCCTCCCGGGGGGTGTTAGGTTCCATTGTGTAGTTGTTCACCTCAGCTTTCGGGGTCCGCCCACCCTGCTGCGGGGTAGCTAAACACAATGTGACAATGACGTCCCCAGTAAAGGCAAAGCTTCCCGTTGGAACATTTCCCCCTCCTTCCGTCCCCTCCGCTGGCGTCCGCATCGTGGGTCCTTTTTCAACATGCAGAGAAGCAATAGCGTCCCTCGTTCGGCGTTTGAATCACCTCATTCCTAAACTGGAGCCTTCAGCCCAATTCTTTTCTCTTCTTCATCGGCCCGGCCGCCTTTTCAAATCCCGCGGGAAACTGCATTGTTATCTCAAAACCTCTTTACACCGCTTCAGCTAAACTGACTCACATTGTATCCATACAGCTCGGATATCGTCGCTATAAGCAACCTCCCTGGATCTAATTCATTAAGGACTCTAAACCGAGTATCCCGCAGTCACATCTCACCACTTACAACCATCACCATCATAATCACCAGCTTCACCCACTACCATCCGTAACACTCACCAAACCGCCAAAATGCCTCCAATCCGCCTCGCAACAGCATCCCCCGCAACAGCAGCAACAACATCCCAAACCCTCTCCGACATCTCCACCCTCGCCTCCCGCGCCTCCACCTCCGGCGCAGACCTCCTCCTCCTGCCCGAAGCCTACCTCGGAGCAGGTTACCCCCGCGGCGCCTCCTTCGGCTCCAAAATCGGCTCCCGCGCCCCCGAGGGCCGCGACGAGTTCCTCGCCTACTTCAACGCCGCCGTCGACCTCGGCGACACCGTCGGCGACGCGGGCGCCGGCGGCGGCGACAAGTGGGTGAAGAAACAGCTCCCCGCGCAGCATGCCGGCGCCAAAGTCGAAAGAGGCGACGGCTCGAGAGAGGAGCTGGAAAAGATTGCCGCGCAAACGGGCGTCTTCTTGGTCGTCGGGTGCATTGAGCGCGCCGGCGGGAGCTTATACTGCTCCGTCGTCTACGTGTGCCCTAAGCTGGGTATGATTGGGAAGAGACGCAAAGTGATGCCCGTACGTTTCCCCCTTTCGCGCCATCTATCTGTCTCTTCAATACAGTACCATCGTTACTAACACCATCACAAAAAAAGACCGCAACAGAACGCCTCATCTGGGCGCAAGGCTCCCCCTCAACCCTCCGCGCCGTCTCAACAACAATCAAAGGCGTCCGCATCAACCTCGCTGCCGCAATCTGCTGGGAGAGCTACATGCCCCTCCTCCGCCAATCCCTCTACGCCCAAAACATCAACCTCTACCTCGCCCCTACCGCAGACGGCCGCGACACTTGGCTGCCCCTCATGCGCACCGTCGCCTGCGAGGGCCGCTGCTTCGTCGTCTCGTCCAACATGGCCGCCAGGCCCCTTACCGTCGCGTCCTCGTCAGCAGCAACAACAACGGCAGCAGCAGTAGACAACGACAGCGGCATCGAAGACGCCCCAGACGCCCAAATCTATCCCACTCGCGCCCGCCGCAACTCATGCCTCACAGAAGACGGCAACGAAATCGCCCCTCCCGGCACCAGCAACGGCACGAACAAGACAACAAAGGTCACGACCTCGTCGAAACCGGCCCTCGAATCAAAAGACTGGGTCTCCCGCGGCGGCTCCTCCATCGTCGGCCCCTTTGGCGACGTCCTCGCCGGACCGCAGTGGGAGGACGACGAGGGCATCATCTACGCCGACGTCGACTTTGAAGACTGCATTCGCGGACGCTTGGACATTGACGTCGGGGGAAGCTACTCGCGCAACGACTCCTTCAAGTTTTCCGTCGAGGGGTTGGACCTGGATCCCCTGCCGTATTAAACCAAGTGCTGTCGTGTGGGCAAGCACTGCTACCAATGGACTAAAGGGCTTGTCAAGACTGGCATGTAAGTAATCACCAAGCTTGATAATTGGGTAATCAATGGCAAAGACAAAAAAAAAGTACGAAAATCAGACCTCGTTCGTAATGCATGTATTTCCGTCAATGCTTAACTCACGGCTAGCTGGCTGCGTATGAGCCCCGTGAGGGTAATATCCATGAAACCACCCAAATCCCAAGTACCGAACCATCCCAGTCCCCCTCCCATGATGCCAGCCAAAAACCCAAGCCCCAGACTCATTAATGCGAGAAAATGGTCGTGAATAGTGGTGGAATAGTGTAGTTAGCGCTGCTCGTCGTCCTTGGCCCGATTCGTACCGTCGCTCCTGTCTTCCGTTTCGCTCTTTTCCGAGGTCTCTTTTGGACTAGTCAATGGACTGGTCACACCACCGATGCTCCCGCTGATACTGTCAGACCGGCCGTGGCCTAGCAGGCCGCTCCGAACGCTCGCTCCATCTCCAGTGCCGCTCTGCTTCGCATAAAAGCTGTTTCGGTCGCCAGGTATGGCGGGAGCGACACCAGTAGCCGAGTATATACTAGTGCGTTCGGCGTTGGCTATACGCGAGCTGCTTTGGTGAAGCCCCGGAGTTGTCGGCATTCCCGCACCCTGTTCGATGTTGGCGCTTAGGACGCTCAGAGGAAGGCTCTCCCGGCTACCGCCCCAGAGGGAGGAAGGGGCCAGGGCACGGACAGAGGCATCGGTATCGAGTGAGCGACGGCGACGACGTTGCGACGAGGACGCTAGGGTGATGATGGATGCGTTGTCGGTTAGCAGGTTGTTGGCCGTAGCCGTTGTATATGTTTGGGGGTTGCCAGAGGCCGACCCCGCAGGTGCAAGATGGGCGGGGATGGCAGATGCGGGCGGTGCTGTTGGGAATGGTTGGTTGAAATGGATGGATTGGGTGTGACCTTGGTGCGATGTGTGATTGCCGTTGTTGGTCGGGTTCGTTGGCACATGGGTGCCGCCGTTATTTGGCGTCATGGACTGGATTGTGGTCAAGGTGGTCGTCAATGACCGCACTGACGGTGCTGGGGATGAAAATGTGCTGTCTCCCCCTCTACGAGACTCGACGCCTCCAATGGTCCGACTCGTCCCTGCTACGGATGGAGCGCCGTGGGAAGGGGCGACTAGAGAATGAGCGCCATCGTGATCAGTCGAAATCGTGGGGGCCATGGATCTTGCGCCGGCGGTGGGCGGGGCGCGACCATCGTCGGAGGACATTCGAGAAGACATGCGAGAGGATCGTTCAATCGAGGTTGCGCTCCCGCTCAGAGCGGTCGAGAATGAATAGGAACTGGTTTCGACGTCGACATCGGCATGACTAGCGGAGCCTACTCGGCCTGATTGAGGATAGGGGTTATTGTTCTTGGAGGCTCGCATCTTCGCGTGGAGTTTGGCCTGTTGGCGCTTGGAGCTGGGAAGGCGAACGCCGCCTCCATCGCTAGAGGATGAGCTTTTGAAGTTGGTGAGCTTCTTGACCCATGTGGAGAAGGGACGGCGGCGGCCAGCACGATCGGGACGATCTACCATGTTGTCAGTTTATTGTGCGGTTGAGGCGACTAACCACACAGCATGAGCTGGAGCTGCCGAAGGATTGCGCCTTGGGCAGACGGCAGCCGCAGCGATGAAGCAGATGCGGACAGAAAGGTAGGTTATAATTACCGTGCGGCTGCAGCGCGGCCTCGGTTGTAGCCATTCGGTCGTCTTGCAGGGCTGGTTTTGTCGCAGGAGATTATCTGCCGGAAGTGGTTGCAAAAGGGGTATCAGTGGAAGAAGTCGAGTGGTGAAATACGGCGAAAATGAGGCGGTAGATGGAAGTCGGGGTGTAGGACTTGAGTTGGAGAAACGAGTGGGCGTTCAAATGAGCGTGCAGGAGGGAGGTAAAGAGAAGCGTCAGTCGATGGGAGAGTCGGGTTTTCGGGAATGGAATGGATGAGTCGGGAAGGTTGAAGGAATGTGAGCAAAATGCGGTGGTATGAGATCGAGATGGGAGGAAGGTGTGCGGTGTGCGGTGTGTCGAGGTGAGAGTGGTGGTCAGGTCGAAGTCGAGAATGGGAGGAGCGAGAGCAAAGAATGAGATTGAGAATGGAAATGGAAATAGAAATGGGACTGGAAACGGAATACTGAAAGTGGGATGGGAAAGAGTCCCAGGCAATGAATCCAAATGGCAGTGGCAGCGGTAGTGGCAGCGGCAGTATGTACCTAGCAGTGGCAGCTTAGGTACCTTACCTACCTAAGGTAGGTTGATTCGACGTTGCTGGAGCTGGGCTGGCGGCCTGGCCCAAGTCATCGGGCAAGTCTCTTAGGTTCCATTCAAAGCCCACCTCAGGGAAAAGAGGGAACCCAAGGTACCTGCCTACTACAAAAGTATCTTACTATCTTACATACCTTAGTAGGTACTTTAGGTATTGCGAAAGGACGAGAACGGATTTGAATCATGGGGGACCAAGGCGTGGAACTGAGTGGGCCGCAACCGCAAAGCCCCAGCCCAGACGCCCTAGGCGCTGCCCATCGTCGCTGCCCAGCCCGGCGTATCTTTTCTTGCAACATGTCGTACGGTGTATGGCCTCTTTCAGTTTCTCTTCTTTCACCTACCTTAAGTAAAGTCTCTAACTAAGGTAAGCACAATACTCCAAGTCGCCCTCGAGATACTCGTCCGTCTCTATCCGTCCTACCAGTGCTCGGACGGTACACGGAATACCCTTTCTTCCACTGTTGAATACGACCACACGACAATACCAGAACTGGGGAGGGTGGCACCCAACATCCAGCCCACCTCACCTTACGCAACCACGCACCCACGCACTCACGGCAAGGTCCACGTCCCGCCTGCGCCGCCCTACGGTCGATCAGCAACATATCAGTGGTCCACGGCCGAAGCCATCTCGGAGACTCTGAGACCTTGGGGGTCGCCCTCGCCCATCTCCACTGCCCGAGGTAGTCTGCGTCTGCCAACTGCCCGCTAGGTCGGAAGCACCCAACGAGCCTTTGAAACTGGCACTAGTTACTTTTGCTACTCTTTTTTCAAAATAGGTTATGAGGCGCCATCTGGGCCAAGGTAGAAGCAGCTCGGCCTTTGTCAGTTTGATGGTGGAGGACGGTATTATCCAAACAAGCGCAACGCGACCAAGCCAAGGTACAACGTTAACCTAGCCCTGGAATTGACGAAATTGGACCACTTGGTGCAGTCCGTCCCGACCCAAGCGGAGACTCTCGCCTTTCCCAGGACTCCAGTCTTCCGATCATCAATGTCTTTCAAAGAGCTCGACTGGGATCACTGCAAGGTCCCCCGGAAGCGTGGACCCTTAAACCCCATCGTAAACACTGCCAATTGGTGCGGGCTTCATTAATTGCTTACGCATACTTATACTTGCTGCTGATTGCTGCAAATCAATCCATCTGGTCACATTATGTCATCATCTGTGCGGTCACTGCGGTGGGCATTCACCAGCCACGCACAACAGCTCTGATGTGTGATGTCACTCTCTACCTTAGTTATTTTCGCACACTGCTCCGAGTCTACCTTAACTCGTATGCGCCGCTGGATGGTAGACTTTCTCAGCACCTTTTTCGAGACGCGATACAAAGCTCAAAGGATCCCACCAACTTGAGACACAATTGGTGTGTTCGTATCTCCAGTAGGCATCCCATCCTCGTGGCTACCCTTTCGACGTTGGGAACAAGGAAGACAGGGATCACATGTAAGACAATCAATATTACACAATAACCATCAGCCACTTTGCTCCTCAACATTAGACGGCAGCTTGAGCTTTCGTACTCCGGATTGATTCTGGATCACCGTACTTTCGTGGTTCCTTGATCTGTCCCAACCATTCAATGCCAATACCTCGAGTGTGATGCACACCTCAATCATCAGAGAGAAGCCCTTTGCAATCATGTTTAGAATCTCGCGGCACCATACGGATATCCAAGCTAGCAATCGCCATCGAGTACTATACATACCTTACCTCGAATTCATCCTGAGTCCCATTCTCAACCACCCTCAATACCCGTTCGCAACTTCCCAGGCTATGGCCACGGCTCTCAGCTCACTTGTCAGACGCTTGCCAAATCTAGCGCTCAAACTGAAACTCAAAAGGCTCACATGGCGCCTTCTTGGTGTGGTTGGAAGCAGGGGCAGCCACACCTGAGGGCGTCAGGTTGTCGGCGACGGAAATGACCGCCTCCCCTACCTATGTACTAGAGGTAGGTATCTTATCTAATCAACCCACAATCTCTTATCTTACCTTATCGTGCGTTATCGCTCATCGCCGTTCCTGACGTCGTCTTTCGTTACTGCACGAGCTCTGGCCTTTGACCAGCGGAAGTTGTCATCGTTGATTGAATCCCCAACACATTGGCAGGCAATTGCTATAGCCGTGTAAATCAGCAACTGCCGACATCCATGCACATACGCAGCCATCTCCGGTGGCTCATCCTGACGCGTCTCGACATGGCGCCTTGATTTCCCAACCGCCATCATGTCCATTAAGCCCTTGCCAGAGGACGTCACCCGCCGCATCAGGTCCTCAGCCACAGTTACGTCTCTCAATGGCGTCGCATGCGCTCTCGTCAAGAATTCTCTCGATGCCGAGGCCACAAGGGTCAATGTTATTATCGACTACTCTCGTGGCAATTGCACGGTTGAGGACGACGGGCTAGGCATTCTACCTGTTGAATTCCGAGAGAATGGAGGACTGGTCAAACAGCATCGTGAGCTACATGAACTCATCTTAGCGCGCACTTGCTAAAACATCTTCAGACACATCAAGGCTCTCGCCCGAGACAGACTGCCACGGTGTCAACGGCAATTTCCTAGCCTCTGCTGCCACTCTGTCTCTGCTCTCCATCACCTCCCACCACCATCTCTACAACTCGCAAAACTCAGTCACCATCCACAACTCAAAGGTCTTGGCACGCAACATCCCTGCCCTACCGGAGCAACGCCTAGTGACCTTCAGCCATGGAACCCGCGTCACCGTTAGAGACTTGTTCGGCACCATGGCTGTCAGAGTTAAGCAGAGAGCTGCAGCTTCGGAAAAAGTCGCAGTGGACAAGGAATGGGGCCGATTGCTTCATGAACTCACCGCTCTGTTGCTAGCCTGGCCTTCGAGTGTTGCTCTCTTCGTCCGAGACAGTGTCAACAACAACGAGACACGCTTCAGGCCCAACACAACACCCAAGTCGGACTTGGTAGCTCGTTCATCACGCACTCTGACACAATCAGGCCTTGTGGACGGCTTGGACCAAATAGTCTGGACTTCGATCGGCGCATCTGTTGGGAAGTTGACCATCGCAGGATGCATAGCGCTGAAGCCTATGGCCACACGTCGAGCTCAGTTTATCAGCTTTGGTGTCCATCCCGTGTCTAATGAGCACGGGACCAACATCCTGTACAACGAGGTCAATCGTGTATTTCTTAATTCCGGCTTTGCTATAGAGGAGGATGCGGATGTCCGAAGCGATTCGACCGGTGTCGTTCTCCCGCATCCGCAGGGAACTTCAACAAAAATCCCCAAGCCGAGGCGAGGCTTGGATCGGTGGCCAATGTTCTATTTTCGAATCAGCTCTTCGTCGCGTGCACGTCCTCTCGTAGCTTCATCTCTCGAAGACCTTCTCGAGGAGCGGAACCACACCCTCGCCAACATGATTGACCTGCTCAAACTTGTTTGTTACGAGTTCTTGAAGAAGCATCATTTCCATCCTCACAAAGTAACTACCTCGCTCCAGGGTACTTCTAGTGGCAAGCAGCGAGAAGACGATTCTCGGGAAGGGAGACGCAAAGGCAGCAGCCGGTCGCGGACAGTCTCGTCAACGGCCAGTCGATCAAATTCGGCTACCCCGCTATCGAGGCCAGAGTCTCCTTTCGATCTCTGGCAACGAGTCAAGATAGGGCGGACATCCGGAGGCACCTCGAAATCGGGAGCATCAACTCCTCTGTCCTCGGAGGTCGCTTTAGGACTCACGATCAGGCGCACTGCGGAACAAGATCCGGACGAGGACATCACGAAAGCTCAGCCTAGTTTGCGGTACCTTGACGAGTCCGGGAATGTTTTGCGGAAGCCCTTTGATAACTTGATGCCGAAGTCGTCGCCAAAGGAGGTCGAACCTGGCAACCGTTCTAACGCTACGAGTGAAGCTGCTGAACAATATCAATTTTGCACGCGGCCATCGGTTGGGGTAGAGGAAGGTCATTCGATATCGTCTTCAGCAAAGCCCGACGACAATGACGGAGTACGAGGCCACATCAACTTGCTGCCTTCTTCTTCCCAGTTCTTCAAGCCAAGGGATGGCCTAAAACCTCAACCGCCGAGCGATAGGCTCAGGGGTATTCTTTCGAAATGGGAGAATCCCGTTTTTCAGCCCGTCGATCCCCCTGTACCTCAACTGGATGGTACACAGGGAGGACCAAACCAAGGTCTGATTCAGTCCCTAGACCTTGACACCACTGGATGTTCAGAAGGGGTTCACACGTCGAGTATCAAGCTCTCTGGCCGAGTCTCCAAGGCTGCCTTGATGGAAGCCGAAGTTGTCTCCCAGGTTGACAATAAGTTCATTCTGGTGAAACTCGGACGAGATCTGATTTCTGGCGGAAACCTGCCAGACACCCAAGCGAATTCTGTACTAGTCTTGATCGATCAACATGCCGCAGACGAGAGATGCCGACTCGAGTCACTGATGCGGGACTATTTTTACGTCGCGAATCGTCCGAAAGAGGTGCTTGCACAGACGGAGGCTCTCGAAAAGCCCTTACAATTCGAGTTCTCGTCCAAGGAATGCCGACTGCTGCGCAAATACGCCCACCATCTACGTCGATGGGGAATTTCCTTCAACATTGACGAATCGGAGCCGACAGACTGGCGGCACAGAAGTAGGCAGCTTCCCAAGGTGGACGTGTTCAGCCTGCCACCAAGCATTCTCGAGCGGTGCAGATCAGAGCCGAAATTGGTCGCAGACCTTCTTCGGCACGAAATATGGAGAGCCGAGGAAGACGGCAGCCCAGCTTCCAGGCCCTTCAGTTTTGCTGCCGGAAGTAGCAGTCAAGAAATCGACTGGGTATCAAACTTTCACGGATGTCCCCAAGGGATCCTCGACTTGCTTAATTCGAGATCCTGCCGAAGTAGGATTCAATTTCCGGCTTTGTGAGAAGTCATGATACTAACTCGAGTAGGTGCAATCATGTTCAATGATATCCTATCCAGGGACGAATGCGAAGTTCTTGTTCGCAGGCTCAGTCGGTGCTCGTTCCCGTTTCAGTGCGCACACGGACGACCATCCATGGTGCCATTGGTGGATATGAGAAGCTTGGGTGTGAAGAAGGAGACGCCTCTGGACAGTTTTGGGAGCTGTCTAAGGGACTCGGGCTTATTAAAGTGAAGGTGGTCCCGCGATACCTGGCGCTGTTTATACATGGTCATTTGAGAACTAAGATACCCCAAGCGAGTTTATTGATAAGTGAGGAAACCCTCAGTCACAAGCCGCCCTTACAACGCAATTCCTCTATCTGTTCTGGATGAGGGCCTTCGTCTTTCTCCACGTCATCGTGTTTAGGTATGGAACTGTAAAGTCTGCCCATCGCTTAAGGCTGTTGAAACTTCACGTAAGGTTAAGCTTCCATTCAGATGTTCTTTGCAATTAGGTCAAAATCTTGCAATTTTTCAATAAGGAGTGGAGTCCAAAAGAGCGCGCAGGCCTTGCGGCATCGATCTGCTCAACTGGCGAAACTGAGTGGACGTGAATACCTAGATGAGAATACGCTCCGCGTTCCGAAGCCCTTAGGCATCGCATCGAGCTCTCTGGAAGCCACTGCGTGAAGGGCTGGCTCGCTTGTACCTCTCATCTATCGGACACTGTGACGTATTGTCTCCGGTGTCAGTTCCTGCGGAACGCCAGACCGCCTCCAACGCTTCCCCCATCCACGCGGGAGTTCTTCCCCACTAGGTTCTTCATCAACATCCGGAACGATCGCGCCCGAGTAGACGTAGAAGCGCAGCATAATGGGACTCACCCAAATCGACGCAGTATATCAGGTACAAGTTGTTCGTATCCTCCAAGATCTGAACAGCGGCAGCAACGCGCACGAATGCCATGGTGACCTCGTCGTCGTAGACCGGCCTCAGGCGCAGTATGTCGCAGACCCAGCTATCGTCTACATCACTCTAAGCCTAATCTGATGAGGCTCCTAGACGTCTCAAAGAGCCTCATTTACAATGCCGTGGGAGAATGCAGTATCATAGTCTTCGATTTCCTGGAAGTGTCACGTATGAGCCAGCGCATATGCAAGGACGGTTGCCTAGTTGCCTTATAGGCGGTAAGTGAGAGGCTTTGTTCGCTTTGTGTATCATGAGATGGTAGTAAGGCTCCGGAGGTGTGTCTTAGAAGAGGCTGTTTGAGTGAGGGTGGGATGACTAGGACTTGGTGGAGAGGAAGGAAGATAATGACAACATGATCCGCCGATCGACCTAAAGGCAGATCCCTTCCTTCATCGTGTCATTACCATCACCTATACTCATCTCGGTTTTCCTTGTCACTATTATACTTAAAAACTTTGCGTATAGTCTTCTACGAATATATACTCAAAGAAAGAGACTCAAAGGGAAACCAGTAGGGGTAGTATCCATAAAGGTAGGGGTAGGGGTAGGATAGTATGGGTTGAGTAAATGAACATGATCTCAAGAATTAAGGCAGGTGTGATGTGTTTTAGGGTGAGGCGTAAACAAGGTACAAAGAATCGTGAATCATCTGCCAAGTACAATACCTCACCTGATACCTGAGGTACCTCACCTAATCAATCCACAAGCGATCCCACCTTTTCACTCCAGAAGGTTCCAGGCCTGATTTATCCCTCGCCATCTGAACATAAAAGCATCTGGAAATGGTCTTCCACCTCTTCTTTCCCTCGCGCCTTTTCCCCAACGCACCTTCTTTACACCGACACCGTAGCCCAAGGGATTCAAAGGAGCCGGAAATTTGCAGAGAATGAGAGTTTCTAGAGGTATTGTTACGTGCCACTACTGGCATCACTTGATATGGCGCACTACTGTCTAAGGTGCTAGACTGGCGGTGCGTCAAGGCTACAGATTGCGAATTACTGAGCACCGCCGGTTTGATGCCTCTGAGAGGCTGCTGCAGAAGTTGGTGATGATTCAGTCTTCCATAGTGCTGAAGATGCCGGCGTTGAAGCTTGATATGGTTTGTATTTCTGCTGAGACAACCTATCTATTTCCTACTTTCTCTCCGCGAACCAGCAGAGCAATCGAGGACCCTTCCCTGACCCTAAACTCCTCCTGCCCACCAACCATCAATATAGCCGAGATAGCATACGAGTGCACCGTCAACGACACAAACTGCGCCGCGTCCGTCGAGAAAATCTCCTCTAGCACAAGCTGCTTCCTCGCGACGTGCTCCTCCGTCGTCTCAAACCGATCCGCCTTCCAAAGCCGGTCCTCCTCCGTGAAGCCAGGCTCTATATGATACCGCGGATACGCACTCTCGATCCAGCTCCGCGAGCTCCTCTTGTCGCACGTGTGGTCCGTCATGCGCTCCCTCAGCCCTTCCTTGACAAGAGGTCGGAAGTACTGGCCCTTGGGTTCGACGAGGGGCCCAAAGGCGAGGTTGCTCGTCTCGAGACATCGGCGGAGGGGGCTGGTGTAGAAGGATTCCGGGAAGGGGACGCCCTCACCCTCGGCAGTGGTGGAGGTTGCGCGCGCCCAGAAGGTGCTCAGGTCTTTTGCCTGCTGGATGCCTGTGTCGACGAGCGCCGCGTCGAGCCATGTTACGGCGCCGTCGCCGTCGAGATGGGACCAGTATCTCTGCCCGATTTCGTCAGTGCTGCGATACTCATCACAATGAGAAGGTTTAAGAAAAACTTACATCCCACTCAGCCGTCCCGACCTTGGCTGCTTGAACATTATGATACCCGAGCCCGTGCCTAGTCAAGTACAAGACCTTGAAGTTCACGCCGTCGGGGCTCTCAGCGTTGAGTTTCCTCACGTAAGAGGCGAATCGCTCCCAGGGCCTGGCTTCATCCTCGGCTACTACGTCGTCATCAGCCGCTGCATCTCCAAAGCGCATGTCGAGGAGTCCGAGGCCTGGCTGCGTCGTTGCTTTCCCATTTGGACTGGCATCGGCAACCTTGTAGTAGTCCACAAAGTACTCGGGCAGGATTGTGAATTTGAACCGGCAGACGGGGCCAGACGTTGGGGCGGTCATTTTGGTTGCGGCGCAAAGTGCGGGGACGATGCTCTAGCCTTTTCCTTTAACAATGAACTTCTTGTTTTAGGATGTATCAATCTTGAGGACGGTAGGTATGCAACTCAGCAGGTCCAAGTCGGATGCAAGATGGAAGATGTACCGAAGATTCCTCCAGCTGGAACTCAACGTGGGCGCCAAGCTCAAATAGATGCGACGGAAGCTTTTTGAGGCTGAGCAAATTCCTGGTCTGGCTCGATCTGGTCCAAACTCTGGCGGCATTACTAGACTACAGCAAACCCCTCAATTCACCATGTCCGCCTCGGCATCTGCCTTGGTGACATGAGTTTCAGATGTGTGAGCATTAGGTTAGTGATGAGTACGATCTAAGAAGTTCAGACCTCTGAGGAGCTAATATACATCTTTAAAGGCATGAAATGGATGTCAATCGCGATTTGAAAAGTGAGCGGAATTCTCATACACATGTCCCGTCTTCAATCTACCCCGCATTACCTCGTGAGCGTCTACGATATCAGACTCATTGCAATCGAAGCCAAAGACAGCCGGAACTTACACAATCTCAGCTACTCTCTCCGAATAGTGAGTCTAAATGACTCGGTCCCGTGCCACGCCCTCCCATACGCCCGAGACTCAGCGAGCGTCTAGAAAGCTGACGATAGGCCCGCTACCACCGTCATCTGCAACGGCCAGGCCATCCTGGTTACACACAGCTTGAAGACAGCGCTCCTGCGGATGCAAAACAATTCAGAGCTTGTAGGCAGAAGAATAGGGATCTATCAGAACAACAATGCGGGGCGCTCGAGGTCTTTCAGCTCATGATGAGCATCTACAGTGCCTACATGTGTGTTGATATAGTTCGGTAAAGACGATGGCCACACCGCACAGGTAGTTCGCTCATGAGCCATGTCACGATGATACGGGCTGCTCAAGACCCGGCCAGACCTTACACCTCAGGGAATTGATCCAAAGCCAAACATCACAGGAACGGGGAGGTGTTCCCCCAGGGGACCTCCTCCGCGACCCCAATCCCGGAACGCAGTACGAACCATCTTCCGCCGCCACTACTACTGCAGATCGTGAATCATCCAAGAAGTCGCCCCGCCATCATCTTCTGTGCCCGCCAAATAACACGGTGATCCCATCTGACATGAGTAGTCTCAGCTCCAGGTAACACCTCTTGGACATTTCAAAAGTCCAACTTCGCCGCTATCCCTCCGTCTGCCCCGAGACGATGCGATACGGTTGATTGAGAGCTAAGACTTGCGTTTGTGAGAACGGCATTGTCTCCTTTTTCCGCATTTCGTTGCCTGCGGCAAAGCCTTTGGCCGCGGGAGAACTATAAAGAAACGCTCTGGTCGCTAAGCGCTTGGATATCGCGGCCATGTGGTATCGGCGGCCGGATGCGATATCAACTTGACCCGATTATCTGGTAGCGTTAGTAAGTGCGGATATTCGTCTTCTTACCTCCAATATCCGTATCCGTGGTTCGTGTTCAACGGCATGCACATCGCAATGCCGGCCGCATTGACAGAGAGATGTTCCCGTCCTCGCCCGTCAGGAAGTGCACCGGGCCGGGTCACACAGACCAACCGGTCCCGGAACCGGACCCACTCTCCAGTGGTTGTCGATATCCGGGATGATGGTGAAAGGTACTGCCAATAGCTGCCCAGGCAGTCTAACGCACCGTTCGTCATCTATCATTTGCAGCCGGAATGACAGAACCCCACCCAAGTGCTTTCACTTCAACTGTTCACTCGTTTGCCATGCTGCACAAGTATCTTCGATGTGGAAACGCGGGGGACAGTGATAGCGGCTGGGGTGAAACGTGCGAAGATACGGTCGCCGTCGCAATGGAGATAACAAGTTGCTTCGGTCATCCTGGTTTCGGTCTATCAAACTGTCCAAGTACCTACCTATCCGAAGTATACTTGAACTACCGATAACAATGCGGGGTTTAGCTACGCCCAACTCTATCTGTCCCGTATCAAGGAAAGACACGGTTTTCCGACTCAGTACACACACTACGCGTGATGCGCTTCTGGTTGATCGTCAGCACCAATGGTAGATAAGACTTTTATAAGAGCATTAGTCTCCTTCCCTCAAATTATATCCTTGATGATGTCTCCGTGATCGACGCATTGCTTGACGAGTGACTGAGTCCAGGTCAACCCAAAATAGTCTCATTCACCATGGCCGACATCAAGACAGAAAAGCCTCAACCAGAGGTTTCCGACACTGCGGACACGGCCGAGGCGTACACTGAGAAAGTCACGCTATCCGAGCACGACTTGGAATTGGAACAAGCGTTGGCAAACTATGTTCCAGACTCTCCTGAAGAGAAGGCCCTCGTGCGGAAGCTCGACTTATACATGGTTAGACTTTTTTTTTTACACCCCTTCTCCCCCCCTAGCTCATCTGCTGGGCTGAACAGTAGTCGAAATCCGAGTCAGCAATGGCGCGATGCTAACGCCCATGGCAGGGGCCGACATTGTGGTTCATGTACATTTTAGCGTACATCGACAGGCAGAATATCGTGAGTCTATCGCGGCAGATTACACGCAGGGGTGTCTGAACTGACTTGTCACAAAGGGCAATGCCAAAGTTGCTGGTATGGAGGCAGACCTCAAACTCACAGACGACCGTAAGCGCCCCTGCACAAGTTCAAGGCGAAAGTAGCCAAAGAATTCGGTATTGACAAGATGATGTATGATGCAGAATATGCCATGTTGCTTTCGATCTTCTTCATTGGCTATCTCGTCTGCGAAGTTCCTTCGAACATGCTGCTCACTCGATCTCGCCCGTCATACTACCTGCCCGGTATCATGATTGTCTGGGGCACTGTATGTTCCGTGATGTCGGTCGTCAAGAACTACGAAGGAATGCTGGCTCTTCGGTTCTTTCTCGGCTGCATCGAGGCTGGATTCTTCCCTGGTGTCTTGTACGTGATGACTTGCTGGTACAAAAAGGCAGAAATCGGTAAGTACTTGCCTCCCTTGTCACCTACGTTCACGGCATCACCCGCGAGTTCCGTACTTTAATCTACTTTTCATCTGTAAAAGTAGCTCAAGTATAGATAGATGCCAAAGCCCCACAACTGGTCTACGTCAGCTCGTACTAAGGTGAAATTGCGTTTTACAGGCAAGAGATTCTCGATCTTTTACACCGCTTCTGTGTGCTCCGGCGCCGTGAGTGGTCTCCTCGCTGGCGCAATCACCGGTAATATGGAAGGCGTCCGAGGCATGCGAGGGTGGCGATGGCTCTATCTGATTGAGGGCGTCTGCACGGTCGGGTTCGCCATGATTTTCAAGTTCGTTCTGCTCGACTTCCCCGAGACAACGAAGCGCTTCTCATTGGAGGAACGGCAACTCGCCGTGGTCCGCATGATCCACGATCGGCAGACGACGGCGGCGCGACACGGCCAGCGCCTCACTCATTGGCAATCTCTCAAGGCCGCGCTGGCCGACCCGCGGACGTACATCTTTGTGGTGCTCTTCACGATGGACCTGGGCTCTTGCACAATCTCCTACTTCATCCCCACGATCGTCAAGCAGATGGGCTACACGTCGGTCATGGCGCAGTACATGACCATCCCCATCTGGATGGTCGGCGCCGTCTTCCTGCTCGTGCTCTCGTACACGGCCGACAAGACGAGGGACCGTAGGTGGCACATCACGGGGTGCATGTGTCTCAGCTTCATCTGCACGCTCGTCTGCGTGACCGTGTCGAACCCCAAAGTCGTGTACGCCATGCTGTGCTTCTACATTGCCGGCCTGTACACGGCGCTCCCGCTCATGCTTAATTGGACGTCCGAGGTTATTTCACTCCCTGCGGAAAAGCGCGCCGTGGTGGTGGCCCTGGTCAACTCTGTCGGAAATCTCTCGGCGGTCTACGGCAGTAGGCTCTGGCCCTCGTCGGACGGGCCCCGGTTCGTAAAGGGGTTCGCGGTCACGGGTGCCTTCACAGGCTTCGGAACCATTTTGGCGGCGCTGATTCCTGTCATCTTCTCCTACCTGCCCAAGGAGGGTAACACCAAGGCTGAGAAGGAGATCTTGGCACGCGAGAGAGAGTTTGTTGAGAACACCAGAGCCCCTGGTGAAGTTTAAAGTCGTATGAGCTGCGAACTGGCAATATGGGCAAAGGGAAAGCGACGCCCGGGTCGGGACGGTGGGGGGGGGATGGGAGATCGAATTCAATTCGCCTCCATCAGCATTGGTAAGACAAGGAGGGGAGGGGGTTTCGTACCGAGGAGTTAATATAAGTATATGAACTGCAACTTTGAATGGCACCTGGACAATTCACAAAGCCATATTTTATGGAACAGCGCTCCCTTCCAGGAAAGAGAGTTGCCGATCACAGTAAACACAGGTTCAGGTAAGCCATGATGATTGGAGGCTTTGGAGGTTCTGGTTCGCTTCTATCCGCCATTCTGACGGTCTGACCGCTGCTGCTGTGCGTCCCGGCAAACAGAGCCGAGATCCAATTTTGATGGCCAAAGGGATGTAAGGGAACAGGTCGGGAATACTGGGTGTTGTGGTGCTGTTCCCAGAGTTCCCACAAGAGTTTCCATCACACCGGAAAAGTCGATCCTTTGAAGAAGTGACGGGAACCACAATTCATCCTCGTCATCCTTGTGGCTTGATAACGGAGATCCTTCAAGATGTGGCTCCCTGTGGGCTGTGGCTCCTCAATATGGGGCTTTTTCGAGTTCCTCGTGGGCTGGGCTTGAGGCTCAATCTATCTCTTGGCATGCATATCCTGGTCTCTGGGACCCAGACAACTTTTGGTGTACCAGTTCTGCCCGGGATTGGATCCCACCCCTGAATGGGCACGGATTGCGAAGGAGAAGAAATGTCAGCCAAAGGCATTAGCCGCCTATTTCTCATAATCAGCCCGTCCAAACTAACCCCGTTCGAGGCATCCGGCTGCCCACGCCATCCTGACTCGAAACACTAAGGAGAGACAACCCGCACCAAGCAGAAATGGCGTGTGTGTTTTTTCTGCTCCCGATTGACTTTCTCTCCCTCCGCAGACCACGTCCTTAGAAAAAAGGTTTCTTTTTGCAGAACGGGGGGAAGACTGACTGCCGTCACGACTCACAATACACGTGTGACAGAAAAGTAAAAATTAAAGTCCACGAAGGAGCTTGGGCCAAATAACTGGAGCCTGATGCGCCTACCGCGGTTTATGCTTAACAGATCTTATCCCTTCTCAGGACGACATATTACTGCGGTATGTGACATTGTTACACGTAGAGTCGGAGACAGGCCGAGGCTAGAAGCTTGTTAGTTTATTTTCTCACAACCCCTGATTTGTTCTGATGTATTACTGGGTCTCTCGGTTTCTGTGAGTTAGAGTATGAAATGTCCACGCGCGTATTGCTCTTCCATGTCTGTGCCGCAGGGCGGCGTTTGTGGCGTGCCCAAGTTTGCTAATGCTAACAAATACCAGAAAGTACGGATACCTAGTAAGACGCCATCAACCGGGAAATTTCCAACCGTTTCATCGGAACGAGTTATGGAGAGCTTACGGAGTAGAGCGTGGTGCTCTGCATTTTGGAGCTCCTTTTTCTCGGATCCCATGTGTCCTTCCTTAGTGGCGGAAATTTCTCTGAACCCATGTTTGGCACCTTGCAGACGGAGTAGTCTCTCCTCTCAAAAACGAATGGTACCCTAGAAGCGCGAAATGCCGCTCGTGGACATGAGTACTGACTGGTTTGGACACCCCGTGACCCCGTGACATCTCACTGCAGCAGGTTCTTTCCGTGCTCCATCGCTGGCAGTCTCTAGTCTCCGGGAGGGGGCAGCCACACTTCCCAACTCCCGCCCCTCCCCCCCTTAACGCGGCCCTACCAGCGGAGATTTCTGTTCGTCTTTTCATTGATGGAAGTGACGCCACAGACGAATGCGAGGCCGTGCGAGGGCCCGCGAGCTAAGCCGAACGTCTTCGTCGACGAGCTCGATTCGGATTGTGCCGCCGAAGCTATCACCGCAACCCCGGGTCGGACGGGGGTGACGTGGTAGATGAAGGGGTTACAGAGCGCAGCAAATCCCCACGAATCAGTGGGGATTACCCACCACTCTATCCCTCGAACAAGTCGGCTCCGGCACCCAACGCCATGATTCTTCGGAAAGTAGTGTGGGTGGATTAAGCAATGTTCCTCGGCCGACTGTGCAATTGGGGGCGTGCTTTTCTTTCGAAGGCCTAGAAGGATGAGGAGCCGTGAGGTGAGATGAGGCCTTCGTCTGGCCCTGCTGGTGGGGGGTTCTCTTTGAAGGCTTGGTGGTTAGGGGGGCTACTCTATCCGTACTACGTGGGTTGCCTGGGAAAGGAGAAGGAAGACATGGAGGAAGGGGGTTCGTCGAAGGAGCGGCGTCGAGGAGCGGCACAGCTTCCAAACAAACATATATGATCGACCTTGAGCCGCGCTCTTTGACTTGGAAACTCCTTCTTACTCCAGCGGCTTTCGTCCTCTTGTCTCTCTTTCACATCCGACCAAACACCATTCGTTCTTTTGTATCTACCTTTTTATTCTTCTTGTTCGAAAGCCTTCTAAATATGAGATCTGCTCTTCTCTCCGTGGCACTGGCTGCCTTCGCCCCCTTGGCTCTCGCAGCCGACGCCGTCTCTGGCGCCGCTGAGGGCTTCGCCAAGGGAACCACCGGTGGTGGTAGCGCCACTCCCGTCTACCCTTCCACCACCTCCGAGCTCGTCTCCTACCTTACCGACTCCTCCGCCCGCGTCATCGTCTTGACCAAGACCTTTGACTTCCGCAACACTGAGGGTACCACCACTGCCACTGGCTGCGCTCCTTGGGGTACCGGCTCTGCTTGCCAGACTGCCATCAACAAGGACAACTGGTGCACCAACTACCAGCCCAACGCTCCCAAGGTCTCCACGACGTACGTAGAGAATCACTTACATATTGTGGATATACGGTGATTTTCATAATACTAACTTACTTCATAGCTACGACAACGCTGGCCTGAACCCCATCAAGGTTGGCTCCAACAAGTCCATCATCGGACAAGGCAGCAAGGGTGTCATCATTGGCAAGGGTCTCCGCATCACCGGCGGCGCCAAGAACATCATCATCCAGGTATGAAGACTTGTTCCACTGGACTAGTCACTATCATGCCGGCCAGGGGCTAACTACCGGTGCTAGAACATCCACATCACCAACCTGAACCCTAAGTACGTCTGGGGTGGTGATGCCATCACTCTCGACGGCTCCGACCTTGTCTGGATCGACCACGTCAAGACCTCCCTGATCGGCCGCCAGCACATCGTCCTCGGCAACGGCGCCTCCAACCGTGTCACCATCTCCAACAACGAGATTGACGGCTCTTCCTCCTGGTCCGCCACCTGCGACGGTCACCACTACTGGGGACTCTACTTCACCGGCAGCAACGACATGGTCACCTTCAAGAAGAACTACGTTCACCACACCTCTGGCAGAGCCCCCAAGGTCGCCGGTAACACGTACGTACAATTGCTGCCAGTTTCAGGCAATTTGGTGCTAGCGAACTTTCCGACTAACAAAACTCCATCACAGTCTCCTCCACGCCGTCAACAACTACTGGTACGACAACTCCGGCCACGCGTTCGAGGCCGACGCCGGTGCCAAGATCGTCGCCGAGGGCAACATCTTCCAGAACGTCGTCGCCGCCTACCAGACTGGTCTCGCTGGCCAGGTCTTCGCCTCCCCCGACTCCACCACCAACGCAAAGTGCTCCACCAACCTCGGCCACGTCTGCCAGCTCAACGCCTACGGTTCCAGCGGCTCCCTGGCCGGCTCCGACACCTCCATCCTCGCCAACTTTGCCGGCAAGAACGTCGCTTCTGCCGGCACCGCCAACGACGCCAAGGCTGTTGCCACCAGCGCCGGCTTCGGCAAGCTCTAAGCACTTTTGCTTGGATTGCTTGCTCCCTTTTTATCTCTCCTGTTGGAGTTTTTCAGTGGTTGTAATTGGGGGAGGTGTTGAGTCGGGTACACGCAAAGAGACCAACGACAGATTCATGTACATATCTTACTACTTTACCGTCGAGGACGTAAATATTATGCTTGATGCATCACATATTGCACATATTACGCAAGACATCAAGACCCAGAACTCCATGTGAAGAATACCGTTTCAGTTTCGTCAAGCAACGAGGCTTTACAAAATACGGTTTCCGTGACTTTCATGACGTTTTGCAGGACAGAGAATGTTGGATGTTTACATCACAAATCCTCCTGTACGTTCCTACTCAAATGGAGAGTCAACCTCAGCTTACTTAGCTATCACTATTTGCTGATGATCAACCTAGAAAAGACAGATATAACATGCAAGAGCGTTGAAACTATACATTGGATTTTTCTGGCTCCTTTTTCTCAAATATTTACATATAACCGGAGTAGGAAAGAAAAGACTGCTCTACATGACAGTAAATGACTTGAAGTATAGAGGGATACAAACAAGAACAAAAAACAACAGGAGCCGACTGGACCGAGGTTCGAACGCCGGAGCCCAGAAATAATACCGGAGCATCACGGACTAGTCAAGACTTCTTGACGCTCACCCCTCGGCCACCAGACCCGGTATCTGTTGTTAGAATGGGAAGGTATTATCCATCTCTTAACGCCTGTCGGTTCAATCCCAGTGAGTGAGGTGTTCACCGATGGATCAGCACCCCGGTATAAAGTCATGGAATACCTTAGGTACGTACGCAAGCGGCCAAACTAGCGGTACGTTCCTCGAGGAAACTATAGACTGTGGTTGAAGTTATCTCGATGCCCTTCAGCCAACCGGTATCCTTTACTCCATCTTTAAAGAAACTCCAGCAGCCAAGTAGGCATTCAGTAGTCTACCAGCCTACTCACTTGTTACCTGACGTTAGGTTTTCATGGCACACACTTCTCGTCGGCAGCCGTCATCTTGAGAAGAAATTGTGGATCTCGGTTACGGAGGGCGGGGTGGCACCCGGAGGGCCGGGGCGCCCGGCCCTTCACCACCTGCACACACGGAACCTAAGCCCCCGATGTGCCCCACTCGGACCCGAGGCCCTAGGAATTTGGCTGGCTTCCGTGTCCCCCGTATTCACAGAGGTACACCGCCGAAAAGGTGTCACAATACCACGGGCGGAGGAAACCTTTTGTCCTAGATGATAAAGCCGACTTTTCCGGCATCCTCCTTCGGGAAAATCTTTCTCCTCTTTCTCCTCATCTACAATAATTATCAAACTGTTCATACTCATCCACCAAGAAGTACCCGCAAAGATATATCACACTGCGTCAGACTTGAACGCGCTCACCGAAGCAAGAATTGAAATTATCATAACAACTTCTATTCTACGCAGTAAGTCCCTCTGCATGTGAAAAACCGATCGCAACATCTCTGACATACTTAAGCAGGCAAGAAACCTCATCATGCCCGACCCCGGCCTCATTATGCTTGCCATATCTGCCGTGGTCTTCCAGATGATCGTCATCGTCGCAGTGTGGCATACCACGTCGCTCCGTCGCTCCACTAACGACCCCGAGGAGGACGCTCGGCGTGAGGAACGAGAACGCAGGGTTGGAGCAGCTCGGAGAATTCGGGATTTTGAGGAACGCGAGAGGATGCAGGAGGCTGAGAAGAAGCGCGAGGAGCAGCGCAAGCAAGACGACGCGATGGTTCACGAGCTCATGAGAAAGACTACTTCGTTGGGGAATGCGGAGGGGGGGCATGATGAGAAGACTCCGCTGCGTGCACAGGATGCGAAGAGTACCATTTGATGAAAAGGGCGGCTAGGCATGATGAGTAATTGATTTCATGTATCCAAGTATAGCGAAAAGTCACGATATCATAGCAGCATTGGTTTGAACAGAGAAGCCACTTTTCTCATGACCACTGCCTCATCACACTTCTTGAAGCACATTCTTCAAGGAACACATCAAGAGTAGTACATATTAGATTGAAAGCATAGTTGTAGCAGGGAAAAGAGCAGCGATGGAAACAGATGTAAGTGCGTCAAGGCACGCAGTAGACTGAATGCTTAGCTTGCGGCTCAATACAATCTCAGTTTCTATTTGCGCCACTTTCACTACTTGGCGCACCAGCATAGCATGTTTTTGCACCTTGAATAAAATGCCTCATCTTCACCAGCAGGAAGTCTCTTCCCATCCAAATAACTCAAAGCACCAAGTCAGGTGGGCTTCATCAAAGAGATTTCATGTTGAGCTACTTACTGACAGCAATGAGCTTCCTGCTGAGAGAAGACCGACCCTAACTAAGATATCCATCAGAATCAACTTTGATCATACCCCGACTCCAAACTTTCAGTCCGCCACACTCAGTGTCTCCTGGCCGGTGATCAGTACCAATGCATCGTCTCCGTTGTGCCATGACCGAAAACCCTTTACCACTCGCGTTGCGTATGCTCAAGAATGCGAAGGTTGAGAGTCTTTGTCCAGTTCAGATTGCTTCGATGCCTGAGTCTTCGACAGATTAGGGTCCTTCGATATATTGGGATCCATGTACTTCGGGTTGTCAAGTTGTCCGAAAGTCCGAATCAGCCAGCTGTCGAAATGTGCAGGTGTCCAATGATGGGGAAACCAGCCGTGAAAGTATTGCATCTTTGGCAAAGACGTCTCGCCCCAGGGATGAGGCGGCTTGTCCCAAATTTGGTAGATCCTGAGAGGCTCCTTCCTCTCATCGTCGATCATGGCATCGACATAGTCAATTGCCACAACTCGAAGGTGGGTGGTTTTGAGAACCTCATCTCCGCGTTTACCCGTGAGAAGAATGTTCTGGGGGTCGAGACGCATGTTGACACCGTGATGAAGCATATTCACGTAGCCTATCAGGAGCTCCTCGAAAACTTCCAAGCGAACCTTCCTATCAAAATACCAAGTGGTGCCATCGGCCATCTTAGGCTTCATCATGTTGCGAGGAACTAGAAGATATTCTTTGGCGGTCCGGAAACAAAGCTCCTCAATGCTGGTGCCTTCAATGTACTCCATGATGATGGCTCTGGCGAATCGTTGCTTGTCCTTCACACCTGAATTTGTAGTCGTCAGCTCGATGGCCCAGGATCCGTAGTATTGAGGTGTAAGGTGTGGATATCCAGTCTTCTTGTGAGTCCAGAGATGCTTATAAGCACCGGCCTCACGACTGTGCTCCTGATCGGCTCTAGATGTCACCTTCCAGGGCCCTTGATACATTCCGTACTGGAAGGGGTAGAACATGGCATCGTACACCTTGAGGACTGCAAGCTGACCTACGGCCAAGCGTTCACCGTCGAAAGGTACCACAACTGGGGCGTTGCCGGCGACGTCTGGTTCTTTCTTACTCCCGGTCCCTTGAGATAGAGAGAAACCACCCGCATTCTCCTGGCCGAACAAGTTCGCTATCGAGGACCTGGCGAATCGCTTCTTCACCCGTGTGCTTTTCGTTCTCAAGAGTGAAACACCTCGAAGCAAGGTCCCTTTTTGTTTCTTAGACATCCCGTCATCGTAACTGGCTTCGTCAACTTTGCACAGAATGACCTGGGTGCCAGCAACAGGCCCGCCGGATATGATTTTCATGACGGTGAGGTGGACAGTGGCCTTGTATTGGTCGGCAATAGGATTGCTGATTTGTCGGTCGTGATAGACCAAGCCAGTGCGAGAGAGGCGCCTCTCGGCTTCGGACAGAACTTTGTCATCGCTGTCGATGCCTGGAGGATTGGGATACTCGGAACGACCGTAAGGTCGGCGCGGAGCTTGGTAGGTGAGCACCAGCTTGCTTCCCTTCTCGTATTGTTCGAAGTCCTTGGACAAGTTGTCATCGTCGATGAAAGGCACACTTTGTGATGGGGGTGCAGGCTCCGTGTCGGTAGGAAGTTGATCGCTTAATTGCGGTTGCGGTTCCGGTTGCAGTTGAGGTTGAGGTTGCTCGTCCAAGGGCTGATCTTGCTCCTTGAGGGGCTGCCCAGCCGTTGATGGTAGCTGCGTGCCTTTGGGCGGACCATCCTCAGACCCAGACGGCGGGGTATGCTCGCGCGGCGGCCAAGGAGGTTGTGCTTCGTATGAGGAGGTCATGGACTGAATGAATGGGGTTGCTGAGTCCGGAGAGGTAGAGTACTCGGACGAGTATTTCACTGGATTGGTCAAGCGAATGGGAATGGGTTGGGATGAGGCGTTCTGGGTTCCAGGTTGGGGCTGGTTGTGTTGAGATCCCGTCGACTGCGCCCAGATTGTCGGTGATATTTCGATAGTTCCGATGGTATCTGCACCGGAATCACCGTCAGAGACTTCAGGTTGCTGGATGGAAGCCTTTGGCGGCATCTTGAATGGGTTGTATGAAGATACCACGCATGCGATGAGACCGTTGAGTCAAGTGATAGTAGACCGAATTGTGCGTGATCTTCCGAAAGAGGAGCGCGATTTGAGAAGAAGTATAATTCGCGTGGCGCAATTCGGACCCAAAGAAGAGGTGTTCCGGTCGAGTATTAATAGGAAAGATGGTTTTTTGAAGGGAGAAAGAAGATCTGCCTACGGCCTACAAGGTGCTAGAAGAAGGTTTTCGAATGGACGGGAACGTGAAAGGCTTTCAGTCCTTTACTTTGCCTCCCGTCCTGCCTAGAGGTCACCTGACTCCACTTTGAGACGGATAAAATGACCTCTTTACAGTGAAGACATTTCAGATTGTCTCCCGCCTCAGGCTCCAGGTCGGCACAAAGGGATGGTGACAGGTGGCTCGATGAGGGTTTTGCCAAAAAGGCACACATCCAAGCAGCAAGTACCCAACTGTACAATGAATGACACACCTTTTCTTTTGTGTTCTCTCAGGATAATAGGGACTCACCTGCAGGAAAATCTCCTTCATGCCCCTTGATCGTCCAGCAGGTGCCCATCGTCGGACTACTAGACTAAAATGATAGAAAGACCAAGATCCTCTGGTGACTTGACTGGGCGAATCTCAAAGAGGAGGGAGCACTTTTTGATGCCTGATGGAAGTCAGTGTAAACCTGCAATGCACAACCTTAAGGGAGTGGATGGGAGCCTACTCAGAATCTGAATCCCCATCACCTTCATGTATTCTATTCCCAGAGCCAAAAAGAAGCGTGTTCTTCACATGGAAGGGTGAATCACACCTTAATGGCCTAGTGGGGTACACTTATGGCAAGGTTTGTGGTCTGGAATAGCATTTCCCTTTCTCATCTTGCTGAGCATTCCAACCCTGATAGCCTATTGGCTTTCAAAAGTGATGACTTTAAACAACGATTCCTTTCAAATAATGACACCAGCAGCATTGGGAGTAAGCTACACTTGACTGCCTAGAAAAGAAGGTAGATAGGTGGGTGACAAACTAGTTCCTCTCAATATCTTGCTTCTATCTCTGTCACTCCTACTCCCGCTGTCCTGTTGACAATCTCCGTCACTCAATAGATTTCGCTCTTTATACACTCCTCTATAAAAACTATGCCCCAAGAGACGTGGCCAGGGGATACTAATGGTACTGGTCATGAGTAAAGGAACACTTTTGCGTGGCCCGGTATTCTATTCTATCATCTAAGATACTTGGTAGGGTATAGTCTAGGAAAGAAATGAAATCTTAACAGAAGAAGCAGCATTACTCAATACCAGTCATAACCATCTTGGTGACCAAAAACTCGTCAATACCGTACTTGCTTCCTTCGCGGCCAAATCCGCTCTGCTTCACGCCACCAAAGGGCGCGGCGGGATCACTGATGGCTCCTAGATTTAGCTCGTTAGCATACGCCTTTCTTCGGATCCTCGCCAAGGAATGAGTAACTTACCAATGTTTACGCCAACCATGCCAACCTCGAGCGCCTCCGCCACACGCCAGCATCGCGACACGTCCTTGCTGAAAAAGTACCCCGCAAGACCAACGTCCGCATCATTAGCAAGCTCGACGGCCTGCTCCTCGGTATCAAACGCAAACAACGCCGCCACGGGCCCAAACGTCTCCTCGGAGCAAATCTTCATGCCGGGCTTCATGTCCGCCAGCACGGTGAGGTCAAAGTAGTTGGACCCCAGCTCGGTCAGGGGCTTGCCGCCGAGAAGCACCCGCGCCCCCTTGGAGACGGCATCCTTGACGTGCTCGTCGACCTTGGCGACGGCGCGGTTGTGGATGAGCGGGCCATGCGTCGTCGTCTCGGCGAATCCGTCGCCGACGGTAAAGGTCTTGATGGCGTCCACGACCATCTGCGAGAACTTGTCGTACACGCTGCTGTGGACCAGGATCCGGTTGGCGCACACGCACGTCTGGCCCGAGATTCTGAATTTGGACGCGATGAGACCCTTGAGCGCCGCGTTCAGATCGGCGTCCTCGAAGACGATAAAGGGGGCGTTGCCGCCGAGCTCAAAGGACAACTTCTTGAGCGTCGAGGAGCATTGGTTCATTAGCAGCTTTCCGACGCCCGTCGAGCCGGTGAAGGAGACCTTCTTGATGACCGGGTGCGTCGTCAGCACTTTCCCTACGGAGACGGTGTTATCCAGGGCCGTGATGATGTTCACCACGCCCGCGGGGATTCCCGCGCGATGAGCGAGCTCGGCGAGAGCCAGCGCCGTCAGGGGGGCCTCGGCAGGGGCCTTGACGACGACGGTACACCCAGCCGCCAGCGCGGGGCCGACCTTGCGCGTGATCATGGCCGCGGGGAAGTTCCACGGCGCGATGAGACCGCAGACGCCGACGGGCTCCTTGAGCGTCACGAGGCGGCAGCTCGGGTTGCTCGCCTGGATGGTGTCGCCGTAGATCCGGGGCGCTTCCTCGGAGAACCACTCGAAGAAGGAGGCCGCGTAGCCGACTTCCGTCTTCGCGTCGGCCAAAGGCTTGCCGTTCTCCAGGGTGATGATCTTGGCGAGGTCGTCGGCGTTTTCCATCATGAGGTCGTACCATTTCCGGAGGAGACGCGCTCTAGCGCGCGCCGGAGTCTTGCGGAAGGACTTGAAGGCATCGTGAGCGGCGAGGATGGATGCTTCGGTGTCGGCTTCATCGAACTCAGGGCATTTTGCTACCTCGGTGAGGGTTGAAGGGTCTCATGAGAATGTCAGCTTGGCTGCTCATCCCGAGGTTATGTGGTGGTGAACTACTCACTCTCGACTGAGAAGACCTTTTCAGATTTGGCGCCAACCCATTGCCCGTTGACGTAGCATGATGTCTTCAGCAGGGAAGCATCTTTCAACTGTAACATCACAACAGTTTAGCAAACGAATGACATTCACTGAAAGGCTCATATCCTTCAACGGCAGGACCCACTTACTTGGTGTGCTGATGCCATTGTGAAGTAAAAGTAATGCACCTCGATCTTGGTTCCTGCAGAAAAGTGGTCTGATGTCTACAGAACTACCGCGGTAAGCCGGACAGCCTCATGCGGTCGCCTGTTTATATGAACCCCTTCACGATGGCGTCAAAGTTGGCGGCACTGCGATATCGTTGTGCCTGTCTGATACCGGTGTGGGAACTACAATTGTGGTTTTGAGTGGGACCGGCCCGGGGCCCGGGGTGGGGCACTCGGAGGGGGGTTTGACACATCTTGTGATTTGAACCCGCTGAAAATGGCAAGAAATTAGGCCAATTCTGTACACTAAAACTTTCGCCCCAAAACGCCTCAATGCATAATGTGTTTGGCATGAGCCGCAATCGGGAATTTAAGGATGGGCCATGCTAGATTCAATGGAGATTTGGCGGGGTTTTCTCCTACGTCTTGACCTGGGCCCGGATGGGGCGCCGGTTCGGGACCGGCCGGCTGTTGCCCGGCTCTCACACATTGAAGGGACGAACGGAAGCTTTCGGGCGTCACCACGGACGATAAATACCCGATCTCCCAACACTTGACGTTGAGTTTTTGTATCAAGCAAGCTTCTAGAGTCTCTAAGAACAACGATATACATAAGTATCTTATACAATATCGCATCTTCTCCGACTCATTTACAAGATCACCACAACTGAGTTGCTCCAATAAAGACCCGACCTTCAAGATGCCCGCCGTCATTGAGCACTCGGTCACCACGGAAGTCCCTGGACCTATCTCCAAGGCCAGCGCAAAGAAGCTCGACACCTTCTTCGACGCTCGCGCTGTTCACTTCGTCGTCGACTACGACAAGAGCTCCGGAAACTAGTACGCAATAACCACACAGGCTGTTTTGTCAGAAAATCAAACTTACATTCCTCCTCTACAGCATCGTCGACGTTGACGGCAACAAGTACCTCGATGTGTAAGTTCACTCCACGGAGCCGCAGCCGCCGATCAACTCGCCGGGCACACCTACCAATCAACCCGCATCTCGCTAATCTCTTCCCCCTTTCTCAAAATAGCTACTCCCAGATCGCCTCCATCCCGGTAGGCTACAACAACCCCACCCTCATCGAGGCCGCCAAGTCCCCCGAGATGATCTCCGCCCTCGTCAACAGACCCGCCATCGGCAACTTCCCCTCGGGCGCCTGGCACGACCTCCTCCAGAACGGCCTCATGAAGGCCGCCCCGGAGGGACTCAACCACATCTTCACAGCCCAGTCCGGCTCCGAGGCCAACGAGCTGGCCTACAAGGCCGCCTTCATGCTCTACCGCCGCCGCGAGCGCGGCGAGGCCGAGTGGTCCCACGAGGAGATCCACTCGTGCCTGCACAACACCACACCCGGCTCCCCCGAGCTGGCCATCATGAGCTTCAAGAACTCGTTCCACGGCCGCGGTTTCGGTAGTCTGTCCACCACGCGCAGCAAGGCCGTGCACAAGCTCGATATTCCCTCGTTCAACTGGCCCCAGGCTTCGTTCCCGGCGCTCAAGTACCCCCTGGACAAGTACGCGGCCGAGAACGAGGCCGAGGAGAAGCGCTGCTTGAAGGAGGTGGAGGAGCTGATTCAGAGCTGGCACTGCCCTGTTGCAGCTGTTATCGTTGAGCCTATCCAGTCCGAGGGCGGTGATAACCACGCTTCCCCGGCCTTCTTCCAGGGTCTGCGTGATATTACGCAGAAGCATGCTGTTGTCATGATTGTCGATGAGGTCCAGACTGGTGAGTAACTCTCTTTGACATGAAAAGTTTATGCAGTCGTACTAATATAACGATTAGGCTTCGGCGCCACTGGCAAGTTCTGGGGCCACGCTCACTGGAACCTGACCTCCCCTCCCGATATCGTTACCTTCTCCAAGAAGGCCCAGACTGCCGGCTACTACTTTGGCGACCGCATGCTGGTCCCCGACAAGGCCTACCGCCAGTTCAACACGTATGTTCCTCCAAATGCCCTTCCGTCTCTTCAATCATCGCTGACGAACCTATAGCTGGATGGGTGATGCCGCCCGCGTCATCGTCTGCAAGGCAGTCATTGACGAGATCCGCGAGAAGAAGCTCGTGGAGCAGACCGTAAGTGAATCATTCCAGACGCATCATGACTTACAACCTCACACGCGTTACAGGCTCGCGTTGGTGAAGTCCTCTACGCCGAGATGGAGAAGCTCGCCCAAAAGTACCCCGACCACGTCATGAACCTCCGCGGCAAGGGCCAGGGCACCTACGTCGCTTTCGACACTCAGAGCGCGGCAGCTGTCACGGGCTCGATGAAGCGCCTCGGCGTCAACATTGGCGCTTGCGGCAAGGAGACCATCCGTCTCCGCCCCATGCTCATCTTTGAGGAGGCACACGGTAAGTCTTTTGAAGAAAAGCCCACCTTATCTTGTACGACCAGGAGTCTGACATATATCTCTATAGTTCCCATTTTGATCTCTGCATTTGAGAAGACCTTCTCTTCATTGTAAACAACATTTTCACGAAAGCATGGCATGGATGGGGAAAAACAAAAAATTGGCGGATTTAGCATAGCATGGATTTACAGCTCCGACGGTAGACCCAAGGTGGGGATCACAGTTTTGAAAGCTCTTTTTTCTTTTTGATACCATAATGACAGAGCCGCTGATGGCCTTGAAAACTTCACACTCTCTCGATACGCTTCTCAGTGAACTATATTGAAATGCGCAAAACCTGAATGCTGAATGGTCGGCACATGATTTTCTATTGACAATTAGTCGCCAAGTCAAAGTCATCACCACTAGTTTCGATTTTCGTCATGGCACAGATAGCTGACTCGGGTAACATTATGTTCTCGCACGATCATGCAATTGACAACTACCAACAACCATTGAGTATCAATCCTCAACGACGAGTAAACCACTCATTTTCAGTGTACCCATTCGGGATTCCCATTTCCAACATCTTTGTCCGACAGACGGCCGTTCGGTTAAACCAACCACCGTAACGTATAGTCTGAGTCGGAGGGGAATACTGACCACCGGGCGGAACCAACGGGTAGCGCGGCCGGCGGCCGGTAGCTTATCATGCAACAGCCGGGAATTGCCTGTGGTCTCTATTTTCGGGGCACACCCCTCTCGGGACTGGTCGCCCCGTCGAGTGATACGCAACCGGTTCGTCGGATCCGCCAGAGCAGCCGGCTGGGGTAACAGGGATCGTCGCGGCATGGCACTACGGTGGTACACCGTACCCCGCTCATCCCCGCGGGCCCAGACGCCGAGATAGGGCGATGATGCGCACCGGTGATGAGGCTATCTATAGCCTTTTTTGCTTGATGATGATCTATTTTCAACGGCTGGAAAGTTCGTGACGGTCTCATATAAACCTTCAAGACCGGGTTCGCATTCACACAAACTCATTCTACCCAAAAAGAAGTTCTTCACACACTTGATCAAATTACTTTGTGAACACTCCTTCACACACACACACACACACACACACACACAAACATGTCATCACCAAGGAAACACGTCGTCTTCGACATCGTAGGCACCTGCATGTCCTACGACGCCATCCCCCGCGCCATCGAAACCCGTCTCGGCCCCAAACTCGCAGAACACAACATCAAGCCCGCCCTCCTCAGCTTCGCCTGGATCGAGGCCGCCGAGCGCGAATACACCTACCTCTCCATCCAAGGTCGCTACCGCCGCTTCTACGACATCTTCCGCAGCCTCTTCTACCGCATGCTCTTCCAAGCCGGCGTCCCGGAACCGCGGAAACTCGCCACCGACGACGACGTAGCCTACATCATGGATCGCTTCCTCGAGCTCGAGGCCCGGCCCGGCACAAAGGAGTGCTTCACTCTACTCCGCGAAGCCGGCTTCACAGTCTGGGCCTTTACGGCGGGCGACGCGAAGCGCGTGGGCGGGTACTTTGCCAAGGCGGGCATCGACATGCCCGCGGAGAACCTCAAGAGCTGCGACGCGGACGGCATCGGCAAGCCGGACCCCAGGGCGTACAAGCCTGTGCTGGAGAGCTTTGGCGGGGAGGAGGCGTGGTTCGCGGCGGCGCACATGTGGGATGCGTCGGCGGCCAAGGGGTGCGGGTTCAAGGGGGCGTGGTGCGCCGTGTATGAGGGGGAGCCGTGTACGGATTTGTTTGGGGAGATGGATGTCATGGCGACCGAGTTGCCGGAGATGGCGCGGAAGATTATAGCCGCGTCGGAGGGGGCGGCCGCGGCGTAAACGGCGTGATGGGAGGCTGGATCCTTACCCGTTTGATGGGGAAAGGTTACGGGGTGTTTAAGGTAGTCCTCGGTCTCGCACTCTAATCGACAAATCCCCGTAATAATGAATAAAATGACCAATCTTCATGCATTGTTTTCTGCTCTGAAGAAGATATCGTTCTCGGATTGTTGGTTGAAGCTGATTCGTTGTGGATATCTTGCATGTCACTGGGCGCCTGTCATTTGCTTATCACACCTCGAGAGGAAAAAGAGAGGGACCGGCAATTTGCCGGTCCCGTACTCCCCGCCGCCGGTTCGGCCTCCGGTCTCGGACACTCGCCGTGTTTTCCGTCACAAAGCCCCCCAACAAGCACCAACATCCACCCGTGATCCGGAGCTAGAACCACAAAGATATCGGTGGGTATGGGTCCCATGTTCGATACATCTTATCTCAGTTTTCCGGCCTCCAATGCTTCTTATCAGTCTCGATTGAGCTTCAACGGCACGATGGCTGATCGAAACGTGCCGGTTCGTTTTGATAGTAGTGCCAGCCCAAAGAAGCGCTTGTCTTCCCCAACTTTGGTATATAGAAAGTCCACACATATTGCTTATCAGCTCAAGCCTTACTTCTAGCCTGCCCAGGAATCCTTTTGCCCTCCTTTGTGAAGGAAAGAAGCCCGAAAGAGGCCTGCCAAGCCCACCTCCCATCCAGTCACACCCAAAAGACCATGCCCGCACCAAAGCCGACAACCCGGTCCCCGGTCCCCAACCCGGTAACCTCCTTCTGGAACGCCGCCCCCCGGCCCCTTGACGACCACCGTACGACCCCGGACCTCCCCGCCGCGAGCGACATCGTCATCGTCGGCGCCGGCTTCGCGGGCGTCGCCACGGCCTACCACATCCTCAAGGACAACCCGTCCCCGCCGTCCATCACCATCCTCGAGGCCAGGAAGGTGTGTTCCGGCGCCTCGGGTCGCAACGGCGGACACGTCAAGCCCGACACGTATTTCCAGGTGCCCAAGTACACCAAGCTCTTTGGCTCCGAGCAGGCGGCCGCGTTGGCTGCGTTTGAGGCCTCGAATGTGTATGCCGTCAAGGAGCTCGTGGAGAGCGAAGGCTTGGATTGCGATTTTCATCTGACGCGGGCGGTTGATGTGTATCTTGATCCGGAGCATGCCAAGGAGACTGAGGCTGCGTATCGGGAACTAGTGAAGGCGGGAGTTGTGAATATGAAGGATGTTGCCTTCACCCCAAAGAAGGACGCCGAAAGGGTAGGTCCATATGCCCCTTTACACCGATTATGATAGATCTAGACTTATCGTTTGATCACAGGTCTCAGGAGTCAAGGGCGCGCAGTGCGCCTTCTCCTTTACGGCAGCACATCTATGGCCGGCCAAAATGGTCCACCAGCTCCTAGACCGTCTCCTCAAAAAGGGGCTGAACCTACAAGCCAACACGCCAGTAACATCAATCTCATCGACGCCCGACGCCGCCGGCCGCTGGACAATCCAGACCCCGCGCGGCGCCATCAGCGCCAGCAAGGTCGTCGTAGCCACAAACGGCTACACGGCGCAAGTTCTCCCGCAGTACGAAGACCGCATCGTCCCCGTCCGCGGCCTCTGCAGCCGCATCACCACCCCGGGCGGGCCCAACGGCCCGCACCTGGTCAACACGTACGGCATCCGCTTCGACGCGCGCAACAACGACTACCTCATTCCCCGCGCGGACGGGAGCATCGTCGTCGGCGGCGCGCGGCAGGTGTTTTGGCACAAGCGCGGTGAGTGGTTCGACAATATCCGGGACGACGAGTTGGTGAAGGGCGCGTCGCCGTACTTTGACGGGTACATGCAGAGGCACTTCCGCGGGTGGGAGGAGAGCGGCGCAACGACGGAGAGGGTATGGACGGGTATCATGGGGTACAGCTCCGATTTCATGCCGCATTTGGGTGGTGTGCCTGGGAAGCTGGGGCAGTACATCATTGCTGGATTTTCTGGTCATGGCATGCCAGAAATTTTGCTTTCCAGTAAAGGCGTGGCGGCCATGATTCGCGATGGGGCTTCGTTTGAGAGTACAGAGCTGCCGAGGATCATGGAGACGTCGAGGGCGAGGATCGAGAGGAAAGATAGTCCGCTTGAGGACGAACTCAAGTCTTTGTGGGAGGACGACGTGAAGGCGAAGCTTTGAAGGGGATATAGGCCACGATTCTAACTAATATGATGACAACTCGACAAGAGACTGTTCCACTCTGTACAATAATACAACCTCGAATCCTCGAGAACACTCTTTGTCTTTGCTTTTCTCCCTCGTAAGAGCTTTCATCTGTGATCAAATGCATCACTCAACATCGACTGTCTACATAGTATCCAGAATTCAAGTATCCAGAACTGAAAGAGTCTAGAACACAGTCAGATGCCGCGCCACGAGTCAGGCCGACTCCAGAATCTGGGTTCCTGGGTTTGTGCTTTCATGCAACATTTCGGCTCCGACCGGGATATAGCCGGCTTCCCCGCGTCTTGGTCGCGAAAAAACAGCGGGTCCGCTCCCCTCCGACCCCCCGCCGACCGCGGCGCTGGAGGTTTCGCCGAAATTCTGCCACTCCGACCCCCTCCCCTTCTGGGAAATGGGCGGGCGCGAAGGACTCAGGTAGTAGACTCAGCCAGAGAGTCAGCACCAACAGGCCAATCTTAGCTCCCCTCACACGCAAACTTGGAACAACCACTCTCATTCACTCACTCACTCATTCCTTTATCCACTCGCATACCTTGCCCACTCTCACTCCCGAGGAATTTGCAAGGGCATTGAGAGAGACCCAAGACAGGACCAGACCTTCCTTTCTGAACACGGACATCCTTCGGTACAGCGGGGTCACTTAGGAAACACTTTCCGCGGAGAGTCTAAACGAACGTCCCTACACACAAAGAAGACCAAGTCAGAAAGACATAGAAACAGACACACGCAGAGAGAGTCCTCCACCACCGGCCCGGGTCCTCACCTGGCCCTGTTGATCGGCACTGTCCGCTGCTGCCGCCCTCTCTCACTATCTACTACGGTCTCCTTATCGGCTATTGCGACTCCAAGAACAAGTTGTAAATGGATCCCGAGGACGGCTTGCGCCTGCAACGACACAAGCAGCGTCGCGTAGCGGATAAGGAACGGAAGAGGGCAGTTCGAGCGTACGATGAAGCCCATTTCTTTTGTTTTGTTTTTCCCTCCCACGCTCCTGTCCAGTCTCCTTTTCATTACTAGTTGCTCGGTCCAATTGATGTGAGAGAACCTACCTCATGCTGACGCGACCAAGCTGTGACGGATGTCGGCGACTCAAGGAAAAATGCGACGGAGGAGTCCCTTGCCGCCGGTGCACCCGTCTGCGCCGGCAGTGCGAGTTCCTCACGCCCACGACGAGAGATGAGCCCGGATCGGAAAATTCAACAAGGTGAGATCCATAGACCTCTCATCTCATTTCAATGTCCTTCTTCAAATGTAGCACTCTTATAAGATCCTTCACTGCGGATATATCTCTTACTTTTCTTTCCCATTGCTTTTTTGCGCCAATATAAAACATCTGGGCTGACAAAAGGGCCATATTGGCGGGTTCGATAATAATAGACCCCGCCACTCGCAACATCATGAAGACGCCCAGCTGAGCCAGAGAATGTCCTACATGGAGCGGCTCCTGGCGCACTACACCGGCAAGAGCACCCTCGACGCCGAGACTCTAAAGACCTTGGCCGAGTCCGTGGAGAAGATGAAGTCGCCTGGTGGACGACCGCGCACCGGCCCGGAGGGCGCGGTGACCGGGGCCGGCGCTGGTGCTGGTGCTGGTGCTGGCGCTGGTGCTGGTGGTGAAGCGGATGTCACCATGGAGCCGGACGTCGGCGCCGAGGTAGAGGTGCAATCGCAGAGCTCCGACTCTTTCAAGGTTGACGAGATAACGGTTCAGCCTCTGGAGAATAACATCACACGTAAGGCGGGCCCCCTGTCTCTTCCTTCTTCCCCTTCCCCCCCTCTCTACGCCTCCCCCTTCCCTGGGACCGCTTCCCCGGACCCTCGAGAGGCTCGGCTTTAGCATCCAGAAGGACCTCTCCCCGAAGACCGCCATGTTGACCTCCGAGCAGATTACTCCGGCGAGTTCTCACACTGGAACTTCTCCATGCGGATAAAGCAATGGATTGAACAATGTGTAAACGTAAGCATGCCCCCTCCTTTCACCTCAACCAAGCCAGCATCGCTGAACAAACACCCCCCGGGTATCATAGGACGCCCCGGATGGTCCAAAGACACAATTCAAAGAATATTACCGCCCCGAAGAGCTCCAGTCCCCCTCCAACACAGTAGCCTCCCTCTCCTCCCTCCCGCCCCGCTATGTAGCAGACTTCCTCGTCCAGGCCTTCTTCAACCATGCCGAGACGAGCTACTTTTACGTCGAGCGCCACTGGCTCATGGACAGGCTCGACCTCGTCTACGAGAACTCGGCCTCCCTGACGCGCCGCGACGTCGGCACCGTCTGCATGATCCTCATCATCTTCGCCATCGGCACGCAGTACGCCTATCTCGACTCCCGGAACGAGAGGGGCGGCCCTCCCAGCGCAGCCGCCGACTCGAGCCCCTTTTCCGAGGACACCATTGGCATCATGTTTTACCAGCAGGCGTGCCGGCTTGTCCCCGACGTGATTACTATTTCGTCGCTGGAGAGCGTTCAGGCCTGTCTGCTCATCGGTCTGTATACGTTACCACTCGACGCCTCGGGGCTGTCGTACGTGTACTTGAACCTGGCGGTCAAGCTCGCGATACAGAATGGCATGCATCGGAAGCACCCCGGGGCTGCCATCGATCCTGTCATCCGTGAGACGAGGAACCGTGTCTGGTGGACGGCCTACACAACGGAAAAGTGAGCGAATTCGTCAGGGTCTCTTACTGCTCACATGCTGACTTCATCTCCCAGGCGTATTGGCATATTCCACGGCCGACCAGTATCCATTGCAGCAAGTGATGTCGACGCCGAGCTCCCAGTCGACAGACCAGAGATTTGGCCCGGCTCAGCACCGCCAAACACGGCACACATGCTAGCAACCCTCCAGCTCAACAACGCCCTCAGCAGAATAGCTCACCAAATGTACGTCATCCCCTACACCGAACCCCCCCTATCTCCTTACACTGACATCCAACCCATAAGATCCCTCTTCAAAACTTTCGAAAAGAACGAAATCCCAGAAGGCATGGCCAAGCTCGTCGAGATGAAGGCTCAACTCCACAACTGGTGGAACAGCCTCCCGGAACCAACCTTCATCAAGGACCCGACCACGGGCCCCGCCGTCTTCCGCCCGACAATGCACCTGAGGCTAGAATACTGTCTCGTCCGCATGTTCGCCGGCCGCCCCTTCATCTTCCCCCGCGAATCGGCCCACCGCGGCAGCACAGCAAGCTCCTCCGGATCCCCCGCAGACTCCGTCGCCGTTACAGTAGTCGCAGGAGGCCCTTCCTCCGGTGGTGCCGGCGCCGGCCGCGCCACAACAAGCAGCTCAAGCAGCAAAACAACACACCCGCGCGCCGTCCTCGTAGCAGACTGCGTCGACGCCGCCCTCCTCGTCGTGGAAACCTGCCGCCTCCTCCGCAACACAGTCGGCCTCGCCCGCGCCTCGTACACGGAATTCTCCTCGTGCCGCGCCGCGCTGCTCGTCATCATCACGCAGTGCCTCCAAAAGAAGACGGACCGCCTCCGCGACGCCCTGCGGGAGGGCATGGCCATGCTGAGGGAGATGTCGGCCGGCGGGGAATCCGCGAAATCGGAAATGTCCCTCATCGAGGCCTTTGAGCGCGCGATTTCGAGGCTAGATATGGCAGACGAGAGTAACGGTGGCGGGGCTGGCGGTAGCGGTGGCGCGTCCGGGGTGAAGGAGTCTGATTACGCGAGGTTCAAAAAGTGGGAGATGTTGTGGAAGACGGATACGCCTGCGCAGGGGCAGGGGCAGGGTGGTGATGCGAGGAGCGAGAGGGACGGTCTTGATGGCGCGGGGCTGCCGATTCCGCCGCATCCTGCGGGCATATGGCGGGGTGGAGGACACGGGCACTCTGGGGGCGGAGGAGGACATGTTCCTCCCGGCGCGGGCAGGCAGGGTACGGCGTCGTTGCCGCCGGCGATGCCGTTCTTCGGACTCGATGGGAGTCTGTCGCCTATGCCGCCTGCGCTCGACGAGTTTTCGGCCATGTTCGGGAACGGATACGTGCCGGGCTTCGAAGGTATGGGCGGAAGTGTAAACGGGAACTGGATGGGTCTTTGAGTTCAGGTTTGGAGGAGAATTCGAAAAAGAAAGAAGGAACCAGTCGATTGAGACATTGCCTGATTCACGGCCGGCGATATCTGGAGTTTGCGTGTCTTTGTTTATCCCAAGCATCTCACCAACTTGGATGTGAAGATGCCTTGACGTTGGCCGTGGCTTCCACACGTGACCCCCTACCTTCCCAACTGAATATACGAGAAGGGTATATATCCCCCTCAAGTCCAATCCTGTCACCAGCCAGCAGGCGCCCCCTTGGGGGTCAGGTCAAGACTGGCTGGGTGGTGGAGTGGTTGAAGTCCACGAACAGCCTAATCGGTGAAGGCGAAGAGGTCCCGTGTTCGAGTCCCAGCATGTGCGCCAGAGATGTAGCCCCTATTCGCCACCGGGGGGGTGAACTCTTTTGCCTTTTGGTATCACCAATTAGTGAGGATGTGTTTATTTCAGGGAAAGACGAAGAAAAAGTCGACTGCGTTTTGAATCAAAGACATGGTATATAACTGCGTGTCTGCAGTTGATGAACATTGCTTGATATAAAGCATCAGGCCAGGAAGAAGTGGGAAATTGATCTTTAGTAGCTTGATATGAGATTCCTTGCGTCTTTCTCTTATGAAAATAAGAAGGAGAGAAGCGTCACCATTCAACAAGAGGCGGTGTATAAGCAATGAAAGTGGTCTGACTACCACACTGACCCCTCAGATGTGGCCTCATGGGCAACCTTCTGTGCAGGAGTCTGCCCGATGCCAAGTTCAGCATCCGAGAAAGTCACTCTGCAGGTTTTTATACAAAGCTATCCATTTTTTTACATGAGCAGGCTTCTCCCCGTTTTGATCCGTGTTTCATGTTCCGTTCTTACTGCTTTTCTTGGCTTTGCGGTTCTGCCTGAATAGGTCTCAACGCTCTTGTCGCTTGCAATTTCAAACTTGATATCGTAGTAGAATCGTCGAGCGGCGGCAGCAATTGTTCGCATACTAATGCAAAAACATCTTCAGGCTGGCCTTGAGTTTATTGTAAACACAAGACAACCTCAAACGAGGAGAGTCAGTACTCTACAATACGAGCGTCTGGACCGAGAACTACAATAACAAAACCAAAGGGTCATCATCGCCACAAAAAGAAAACACAATAAACTGTTTGATTGCCTCGCTCAATATTACTTCTCTCCAGCCAGCCGTCTGACACTCTCGACTTACCCAAAACCCCCCTCACTCCGTGGGATCCCGCCCACCCTGCGCCGCCATGTTTCTCTCATACTCCTCATCCGACTCAAAGTCGATCTCGGCAGGCAGCGTAATGGGCACAATGGGAATCCCATTTTCCTCCAGCTTCTTCAGCCTCGCCGCCGTCGCGGGTCTTGACTTGTTGATGCTGTACACCTTGATGCGGTGCGCCGACGACGTGACGTGCAAGTCCCAGTTCCTGTGTAGTCTCCTCATCAGTCTCTAGATCATCATCTTGTACCCTCCCTCTGCCACAAAGCTGAATGACATGAAAGTCGTCTCCGAAGAAGTGTGAAGATGAAGGACAGAAAAAGTGGGAGTGAAAGACATACCAAGCAGACCTCACAAAAGTAGGCTGCGTATTACACGCATTATCCCACGTCCTCACACAAAACTCCAACCACCCCTCGGCGTCAACAGGCAACTCAATCTCCCACAACCGCCACGCATGGAAATACTTGCCGCTCATCTTCTCCCACGGGACCTCATACCATACCCCGCCCCCATCACCACTCACCTCGACCCTCACAGGCCAATGCCCGCCCCCCGAATACGCCCACCCCCTCAACCTCACCCTCCCCTCGTGAACAACCTGCTCCATGTCCCGCGGCGTCATAATCGCAGAACTCACAGGCATCTCCTGGATCGAGAACCCGTTACTATACTTTACATTCTGCTTCCCCACCTGCGGCGTGTAGTAGATATACTCCCTCCTCTGCACGGGCGCACTACTCTCGCTCGCGATCGCCTTGATTTGCGTCAACCACTTTGTGCTCCGCGCCCCGATATACCCAAACACCACCGTCCGCAACGGGAATCCGTGGATCTTGGGCAGCGACTGCCCGTTCATCTCCCACGCCAGTAGCACCTCGTTCGCCTTCACCTTCCGCCACGGCACGCTCACGACGTAGTTATACACCTTCCCCTTTTTGAAGTACGTATCCGCGCCGTAGAACTCTAGATGCGCCGCGCCGTCTTTCAGCCCGCCGCAGTACTTTATGACTTTTTTGAGGGACACGCCCGTCCATCGTGCGGTGCCGATGGCGCCTTCGCCCCAGGGGGCGTTGATGAGCTCGTCGCCGTCACCTGGGTACTGCGCGATCTGCTCGATGCGCCGCGTACCGGAGCACTGGATCGAGACGACGTTGGTTTGGTGTTTGAATTTGGTCTTGAGGTCGTGCAAGGTAAGGGTTTGCGGATTGTTGACGAGCCCGGAGATGTCGAGGGTGTATCTATCTTCGTCGATTTCTGGGATGCCGCCGTGGTTGCGGACAAAGTGGTCCTTATTGGAAGTGATTTCCGTTTCTACCAGGCGTTTCTGCAGGTTTCTCGCATGTCAATTTGTGGTATGTGTGCGTCGAGCGGAGGGAATCTTGGCGCGAGATCTCAATATGACTTACACGAGGGGGTTCGCCGTTGTACGGAAACTGAAGCACGTGAATCATATCCTCCGCCTTTTCCTTCTTGACGATATCCCAGCTGATCTCGGGGATATGACCCAGCCCACACGCATAGTGATACTGCTTCCATCGCTCCCCCGTAAGAATCGGATTCGTATCGGGCAGCGGTCCCAGTTGATACTGAGGCGGCTAGTTCGTGGTAACAGAAAGGTCAGTCAGCTGAAGATCCCCCAACATATCGACGCTCGAGGCTTTGACATATTCACTCACCTCCGGAAAGTCATATTGCCTCATGAGTTCCTCAACCTGCTTCTTCTTCTCGGGGTACTTCTCCCATTCAATGTAGCCCTTCCAGCCATCTCTCTCTTCCTTGAAGTGAGGCGTCTTGCCCTTCGCCTTGAAGGGGATCGCGTGAGGTTCAGCAGGAGCCATGGTGGATATGACAAACAGGAAGACGAATTCAGAAAGCCGACCTCTACTACACAAGTCTCTCAATCGAGACCACAAAAGATGGGAAGACGTTGTTAATAAGATACATAGCCACTCATACAGCGTCCAATGATACGCCAGAAGTCAATCTCGCACACCGGCAGAATCGCACCAAAAACCATGACATCCTTCTCCCAGCAAGCCCGAAATTGTTCTTCATATACACCCCCAGCCAATAGACAGCCTCTCATTTAGAATCCGATGCCGTCATGAAGACATCAAACAACCGTCTTCTCTCGTCCGGAAGCTTTGCCGCGGCCCAGCGCTAACAAACCCGCATTGCAGGTATGTCAGCGTCGCAGGAGCCATGTTACCTGTAACCTGGCTCCCCTCCACTTTCGCGAGATAGCAATGACTTCAGATCGGGAATCTCGGTTGCAGTCGTTGGCAGTAGAGTCTAACCAAAAAGAAAGCCAAGATTTGTAACCGTCGCCGTTGGTTGTGGTACGGAGTACTCCACTTAGTCATGACGTTGATCGTCCGGCTTCCCCCCTGTCGTATGTCAAAACAAGCATTTGCCGTTTGGAACGCTATCGCTAGACTCGGTCAAAAGTCGGCGACATCTGGCACTGGACTCAAAACGATGAGAAAGCCGACCAGGCAGGCATTGACAAGGACTCATAGAAACCGAGAATCATGACTTCGGGGTTTGAACATTAGGGATGTATATTCCGAGCGATCCGCGATGAAACGATAGGGTAATCTAGGTAATGTGTTCCTCTCCGTAACGCCGTCAGCGTCCCATCATAGCCGCCTGCGAAAACAAAAATAATGCAATGTCCTGTCGGACGAAAAACTGACAGAAGCCCCAAGTTGAAACTGGAATTTCATGAACCTCTGACCTTCTACCGCCCTTTATTGATGTTTCCCCCCCTCTTCGGGTACCGCCTCTCCTCTATTCCCATCCTTTCTGTCAAGGCTCCATCACTGCAGAACAGCGCCGCTCACTCTCCGGCCAACAGTCTTGATGGTCGAGTACTGTCCGTTGGCGCCCATGACATCAAAACGACTCAAGCTCATGGCGTCTTCGGTGTACCCTGAAAAGTAGTAGCCTACAATGACTACAAGGTAGCTGAGCAGCAGAATGCTGCCCTTGAAGTAGTTGCTCTTTCCTTCACCGTACATGTAGCTAAGCAGGAACACGCAAATGATGACAGTGACCATGTCCCACTGGGGGAACAGGAGTGAGAAGGTGTGCGCAGTGACGTCTTCGAAACGATCCGAGGTGACGTAAACTGCAGAGAACAGGACAAGAGCCGGAACTTGAAGCAAACAGACTTGAAGCGCATAGGCAGAACCAATCTCCATGGAGAGCGCAATGTTGCCGTTCATAGCGAATGAAATGGCGTTCTACCAATCGTTAGTCAATACCATAATACAGGTGTGCAGGCCAAACTTACCAAAAACTCGGTCGTGTTGGGGACCAGCGCGAAAAGAGTAATACCCAAGAACTTCTCATCAATGGCAAAGCCCTCGAGAACGACGTCTACAGTGTCGACAAGAATCTCGGCAATGATGGCATAGAGTACAGTAGCACCCATGAGGATGAAAGCACTCTTGCCTCGGCTCCAGTTGGGAGCGTCATGTCCACCGTGGGGTACTTGGGCCGTGCTAGCTGCTGCGAGATCTTCGTTGTCGGCAACGGTGGCGGTACGGAGGGCCGGTGGACGCGAGGTAGCCGTAGTCGAACCTGGGGGAAGAGCCGAGGTCCTGCGAGGCATCCGCTCCCGTGCAGCAATCGTGGCCGCAGTGGCCGCCATCTCTGCCACCTCTCGGACCAATGCGTTGTTCTCCGCCTCTGAGAATCCAGGGATGTGAACAGTGGAGCGGACTGTGTCGCTGCCGCTGGACTTCGGGGGCACGACGTGCGGGATACTTACGCTGCCATTGCCTG